AAGGTATTATGTTTATGCAACTCATTTAAAATTGTAATGTATAATTAAGAAATATAGATTAATTAGTCATCTATGATAATCAATCTTATGTTAGTTAAGTTTTCTAGGTATACAAAGATATATTTTAATTAGGTAATCTTCAAACACTTCAAAGACCTACAAAATATGGCATTTAAAATGTTTTTAGAACTTAAGATTTTTCTGGACAATGAGACACATCTGCTCCTGGCAGCACCAATTACTTCAAAGAGGATTATAGGCATCAAATAAACTTGTTATGGAGTTTGCTTACAATATGGAAAAGGCTAGCCACTTGGGCAAGAAACTGCTCTTGCCTGGACTGCTTGACAATATGTTGTATAAACTGGACATGCAGGACCCATAGGAAGGTGACCACTAAACTTTGCTAAAACAAGGCAAGATGGTCCTTCAGGTTCCTGCTTCATACAAGAAACTGCCAGATATTCTGCATGACACAGAAAAAAAAGTAACTGAAGAACTTTGCTAATAGGCAGAACAGTCCTTCAAATTTCCTGCTTCACTAAAAAATATGCCAGATACTGTAGGCCTGTAGGCTGAAGATGGATGCCCCAACATTACAAAAAAACTTTGGAAGACTGTGCAGGGAGCCAGATGTCTCTGTCATTTCTAGAATTTTGGAAGTTGCTTGCAATGTACTTCCTGTTTACTCAGGTAATATTATATCCTTCTTTGATCTGTGATGGAGTTGAAGACTAGATAGTTATAGTTTTCCTTAGTTATGATAAAAGATACATTAGATACAAAACTTTAGACTTACAAAGATAGGAGGTGGTGATACATTGTGTACCCCAATTTAGCTTACCTGGGGATCAGAGGACAGGACAGCCACTTAATTAGGTATAGAGGTCAGGCAGTGGTGGCACACACCTTTTATTCTACCACTGGGAGGTAGAGATCCTCTGGATCTCTGTGAGTTCAAGGCCACACTGGGCTAACATGATAGAAACAGAACCAGGCAGTGGTGACATATGCCTTTAATCCCAGGAAGTAATATGACAGGACACAGAAAGGTATATAAGACATGAGGAAACAGGAACTTGCTCTCTTGAGGCTGAGGATTTTGTAGAGGTAAGCTAGTGGCTGGTTGTTCTGCTTCTCTGATCTGTCAGCTTTCATCCCAATATCTGGCTTCTGGGGAGACATTTACAAAGATCTTCTCACCCTAGACAGGAAACCAAGGACAGAACAAAGTACAAGTATCACCAAAGTCCAACTTGGTGAACAAATGCATTTTACTGGGGTTACTTAGAAAAGCAGAAATTACTCAGACAACTGCATCACCAAAAGCCCAGCCCAGTGCAGGTGACGAGTTTATAAAAGCTGGAAACCTGGAACACACTTAACAACCTACTGGCAGTTCAACAGGTTGGATGTGTGGTCCTTCCCTAGTGGTTCTGTTAGTCTGAACTTTTTCTAGGCAGATCAACTGCTCTCTTCTTTAAGGCTTCTTATCTTGTCTTTGCTTCATCCTGGAAGCTAAGCTGATCTGAGAGAGCAGTCTTTACTGCAGACGTAAGTTTTCTTGTGTCCCGCAGCCATTCGGTCCTAATTAAACACAGAAGCTTATATTAATCACAAGCTGTTTGGTCTATGGCCCAGGCTTATCACTAACTAGCTCACTCATCTTAAATTAACCCATTTCTACTCATCTATGTATCGCTGCGTGTTTTGTGGCTTTATCTGAGTTCCATTACATCTTGTTTCTCAGGCAGGCTTCTTCTGAAGAGCAATGACAGTTGACAACTCCATCAAAATATCACCTATTTTCACCTTCACAAGATGACATCTGACTCCATTATGCCACACACGGCCAGGCAGAGCACACAGAAAAGCACTACAGGAACAGTACCACCTACTATGGTAGAGGCACCCTGGACTTGCATCCATGTAGCCACTGAGGGCCTTGGAAGGGACAGACACCATCTCCCTGAAGGAACTGTCTTGTGCTGCAGCTCTAGTCTCAAATAACAGGAATCTCACATCCTGCTATCCACTGATCTCACCCGGAAAGTGGATGGCAGCAACCAACTTGGATATGAAGACTGTTTGCTACTGTGGTGGTTTGAATGAGAATGGACCCTATAGACTCATATATTTGAATGCTTGTTCTATAGTTGGTGGAGCTGTTTAGGAAAAATTAGGAGGTGTGTCATTAGGGGTGGGCTTTGAGGTTTCAAACCCCATGCCATTCCCAGTTAGCTCCCTTTCTGCCTCATGGCTGTTATCTAATTATGTAAGTGCTCAGCTACTGCTTCAGCACAATGCCTGTCTGTCTATTGCAATGCTCCACACCATGAAAGTCATACGCTCTACTACCCCCGGAACCATGAACCCTAAATTAAATGCTTTTTTTCCCTATAAGTTGCCTTGGTGCTTTGTCATGGTAACAGAAAAGGAACTAAGACAGTTCCTCTCTTTGCTTACAGTATAGCAGTATGTCGATATCTGTAAGATGTGTAATGACTTGCCAAAAACAATAAAAAGATTGGAAAAAGCACAGGGACAAATAGCCATGAACTGTGAACCAATGGCTGAGGAGCGCCCATGGAACTGGACCAGGCCCTCTGGATAAGTGAGAGAGTTGATTGGTTTGAACTGTTTAGGAGGCCCCCAGGCAGTGGGACCGAGTCCTGTCCTTGGTGCATGAGCTGGCTTTTTGGAACCTAGGGCCTATGCTGACACACTTTGCTTAGCCTTGGTGCAGGGAGGAGGGGACTAGACCTGCCTCACCTGAATCTACCAGGCTGAGCTGACTCCCCAGGGGAGACCTTGCCTTAGAGGAGGTGGGAATGGAGTGTGGATTGGGGGGGAAGGCTAGGGGGTGGGAGGAGGGAGGACAGGGGAATCTGTGGCTGATAAGTAAAATTAATTATAAAATAAAAATATAAAAAAAAGAAACTTAAGTCAGAAGCTAAGGAGCTAAGGAGGTGGCTCAGTGGACAAGCACACTTGTGCAAGCACTGAGGACCTGAATTCAAACCCACATAAGGAGCCAGATGTGGTCATGAATGCCTACAATTCCAGTAACAAGAGAGGGGGAGACAGGAGGATCACAAGACCTTGGTGGCCACTGCCTAGCTCCAGATTCAGTAAGAGACCCATCTCAAGGGTAAGGTGGAAAGTGATAGAGTAGGTGTGGTGGTATTGTGTTCCCCAAAATACTGTGCACCCTAATAAACTTATCTGGGGTCAGAGACAGAACAGCCACAATATTAAACATAGAGGATAGGCAGTGGTAACACACGCCTTTAATCCTAGCATTCCAGAGGCAGAAATCCATGTGTTCAAGGATACAGCCAAGCATGGTGACTCACGCCTTTAATCCCGGGAAGTGAGGCAGAAAGGAAAGATATATAAGGTGTGAAGACCAGAAACTAGAAGCTTTTAGCTGGTTAAGCTTCAGGCTTTCGAGCAGCAGTTCAGCTGAGAGCCATTGGGATGAGGACACAGAAGCTTCCAGTCTGAGGAAACAAGATCAGCTGAGAAGTTGGCCAGGTGAGGTTACTGTGGCTTGCTCTGTCTCTGATCTTCCAGTGTTCACTCCAATACTTGGCTCCAGGTTTGGTTTTATTTTTTTTGTTTTTTTTTTCTTTGGTTTTTCGAGACAGGGTTTCTCTGTGTAGCTTTGTGCCTCTCCTGGAACTCACTTGGTAGCCCAGGCTGGCCTCGAACTCACAGAGATCCGCCTGGCTCTGCCTCCCGAGTGCTGGGATTAAAGGCGTGCGCCACCACCGCCCAGCCAGGTTTGGTTTTATTAATAAAGACTCTTTAAGCTACACAGAAAATCTAATTTTGGTCACTTACTTCTTGCCTTCCAACTTCAGTTTTCTCAGGTTTGCAAGATTTAACTTTTAGAAACTCTAAGTCTGACAAGTGCTTTTTTCAATTTTCTGGGAGTAAACTGTTTAAAACAGGAAGTCGTCATCCTTTCAGTCCAACGGCAGAACCAGCAGGTCCTTCTCCAGCATCTTTGTTGTCATACACAGCTTCAGACTAAACCCCTCCCCGTCAACAAATAACATGTTATTTCATATGCATTTCTGCCAAACTCTGGTACCGCGTGCTGGGTCAATTTAAATGAAGTTCTGTTCCAGAGTTAACATTTTAGAAATGATGTATGGAACAGAGGAGGGGTGGCAAGCCCAGGGGCACAGATGAATGGACAGCCAGCACACTCACGTGTTCCTGTGTTACTATGACAGTGAGCATGCTCCTGAGCAAAGGGAGGAAGGCACGTCTTAATGGCATCGACAGCACTTCCCAACACTTCCCCTTGGCCTCCATGAGGTCAGATCCCCTGTAGACACCAGAATCTGAGGAGGCTCAATTCCCTTTTATAAAACAGCTAATTTTTTTTGGGGGGGGGGTTTCGAGACAGTTTCTCTGTGTAGCTTTGCGCCTTTCCTGGAACTCACTTGGTAGCCCAAGCTGGCCTCAAACTCACAGAGATCCGCCTGGCTCTGCCTCCCGAGTGCTGGGATTAAAGGCGGGCGCCACCACCGCCTGGCAAAAGAGCTAATTTTTTTTTATAGCACACCCTCCTGAATTCTTGAAATCATTTCTAGATGACTTGTGTAAATTATATACTGTGGCCAGGCATGGTGGCCCACACCTTTAATCCCAGCACCTAAGAGGCAGAGGCAGGCAGATCCCTGTGAATGTGAGGCCACTCTGGATTACATAGAGAATTCCAGGGTAGCAAGGACCACATAAAGAGACTCTGTTTCAAAAAGCCAAAACCAAATCAAATCCAAACAAACCAAAGTGAATACTATATAAATGGTTGCTATACTACAGTTAGGGAATAAGGACAGAAAAAAAAGCTGTGTATTTTTATGAATATTTTCCATCCCTGGATGACTGAGCCTACAGACGGAGAGGGCTGATCACACTCTGTAACACATTATCTGCCGTAAGCTTACAGATACTTCAGATAAAACATTTCCAGTCCAGGAGAGTTAAGTTTTTCTTCTGCTTTTATTACAAGCATATAATATTAATTGGCAAAACACTGAATACAAGCTTCACTATCATGAAATCAAAACATTAAGCAATATTCCAAAAAAGATTTCAGACAAAAACTAGCCACTGATGGTACAAAAATTACACACTAACACAATCATAAAAAATGTAAACTTTCAAATTAAACAGTCAAAAAATCTGAATCTGCATCATTTCAAACACCATGACAACTGTTGGCTGTGGCTGCATTCCGAGGTGAGAGCCCAGGTGGTGCTGCTGTCTGTGACTCGATGTTACTTTCACTTGGGAAAAATGTGTCTGGTACAAGCTTAGAGCTGGAACTGACATGCTAAAGTGACACACACATCTCACAGGCACATTTCAGTTCTGTCTCCAAATGTGCTCTTGGATGGGAGTAAGTGACAGGCGGAACACTGGGTGTGAGAGCCACAGCCCCACACAGCTATTCCTGATGGGAGCCTGATGGTAGTAAATCCTGCCTGGAGGAACGCAAGATATGCAGACTGTGGTACAATTCAGTGATTTTTCTAATCTATGTATCCCAATTTATTTACTTGGTGTATTTAATATCAAGGCAGAGAAAACTTCTGTTTTCATGTTAAGGACACATGTGATGTGTTGGAGTTAAAATGATTTCCTGAGGAAACAGACACTTGTGTGTGTGTGTGTGTGTGTGTGTGTGTGTGTGTGTGTGTGTGTGTGTGAGAGAGAGAGAGAGAGAGAGAGAGAGAGAGAGAGAGAGAGAGAGAGATTTCACCATCTGCACTAAATTCAGTGTTTTAGGAGCATACTCAATATCCATATACAAAGTAGAACCCAGCTGGCTCATTCTTGGAACATTTAATCTAATGATACATTTCAGAGCACTGTGATACACCACCCTGTATGCCCTCAGAAACAAAGTATACCAGCCTGCAAAGATTCAGATGCCAGGGCAGGCATCAGAGGCCAGCAAGCCTGTCAAGGGCAGCACTGCCAGGTTCATCAGTGGAGACAAGGAAATCCCAACCCCCAGGATGGCTCAGCCACAGACTCAGCTCAAGAACTTGGGTGTACCCACAGTAGACACGAGCCTAACATGGTGCAACCTCATCACTTCCTTTCTGGCTGCTTATCTTTTAATATTGATGGAACACACACACACACACACACACACACACACACACACACACACACACACACACACTCCCAGTAACAACATTCTTATAATAACAATAAAAAAGGCAAAACCAAATAGCTGAATGCACAGATATTGAAATTCCACCTATATTCCCTTTCAATTTAGTAGAACTGATGCTAGATCACAATTTAAACACTCTAATAAATGCATGTTGGAACCTATTGCACAAAAGCATAAAAATGCTCTTCATCCCTATAAGAACATACAAACCAAAGGCTACAAAAAAGTAAAAGAAGCTTGCAAAACATCTCACAATTTTATCTTATATGCCTGTAAATAAAGCTGGACCACGGAAACCAAACAACTGGATGGGAAAATATGATAGAAGGCTTAAAATAGAATAAATAATTTTATAAAGTTAAGTTTTCTTTTTTTAACCCCCCAAGTCTTAAATTCAATATTATATATTCTATCTGAGTTTTCTATTTTCGTGAAAATGGTATTGAGCGAGACCACGTGCTGGGAGGCTGGTCCCGGGGCTGCCGGCTGGACGCACCCGATTTCTAGCATCGGCAGCTATGAAAACAACTTCACAGGAGCTCCGCCTGCTGAGAAAGCTGGACAGGACCAATCACTAACTGATCCTACTGTTCATGCTGGAAAAATAAAATTTCGGCCTTGGATGTCACATGGAGCTTGGCAGGAGTGAAACAAGGCGCCCGGAAACTTCCATCTGACGCAAGCTCACTCTGCTTCATCTATGAGCGAGGTAAGGCTACAGGTCAGACCAAAGGGCAGAAGGGCATCGGGAAACTGTCTGCAGTGCAGACAGGCGCGCGATGGAATCTTAGAAAAATAGGTATTTTTGCTGCTGAGGTTTATCAGGTTAACGTGGTGACAGAAGCAGAGCTGTTGGGGCAGTGGCGCCCAGCTAGGACATCAGTTGCCATGTCCGCCTCGCTGAATACTTAGATCTATCAACTTAGCACCATAGCAAAGTCAAGTGATTCTAAAAGTAGCTACAAAGTTACAAATATATATCATGAGATTATACAGCCATACTAAGTTTGATCTGAACTGTAAATTAACTTTATTTTAATTTGGAGGCTTCTAACCGTTTAACTCTTCTTTAATTTCACCACATGGGAAAATACCTAAATTCTAATGTAACTGCAGTGTGAGAACACGGTCTTGCAGAATGCTTCAGCAGCACTTGTGTTCTGAGGTAGACAGGTAATATTTACGCACAAACCCTTGTGGAGTAACTCTAGAAATGATTTGGATGAATAGCAAACTCAGGAAACTGAATAATCCAAACAGTCCTGGGCTTAAATAGAGAGGTGAATTTTGTTCAATTCCAAAGAGCTTGCTTTTATTTTAGAAGGGCAAACATTAAAGATTCAGTTAATTTGGATGTTTTATCCTTAGTAACATTAGGTCTCACTAGTCGCTGCTTCTGACACTGTGGAAGTGAAAGAGGAAGTAGAAGAAGTGGGTGTTGATAAACCCAATCTCAACTCTCAAAATAAATTCAAGAAAAATTCCAATTGTTAAGGCGAAGACTCAGAAGCCTGGCCTAAGGGACACACTAAGATCCTCATCTGCCCACCAAGAGCAGAGGGTTCTACAATTCCCATGGGGCCTGGAAGGGCAGGAAGTGGGAGAGGTAAGAGGGCACCCAGACTTAGAGAGGTCCTTGGGAACCCCAGGACAGTACCCCTTCTTTGCACTCTTGCCTTCATACCCCTAAGGGAGAATAAAGTTGGATATGCTGGCATCTTATTCTTTAACCCAACAACAACAACAACAACAAAAATTACATGTGAAAGGGGAGGTTACCAAATAGTATCCTGTCTGTGACCAAAAAAGCAACCTCTGCTTAACAGGTTGCTCAGTTACCTTGCATGGAAAAGGGACCCAAAGAATGCATGTTAACCCCATGAGCAGGAAGGCAAGCCTGGAAATACCAACTACCAGGAACATGGAGGTTAGAGGCCACCTCCCAAGTGTCTTTACAAGGTCTCCCCACAGGATGGCTTGTGTCGTTTGATAGTGACAAACAGCCACCATCACATCTTGCCAGCAGAAGGAAAACAAAAAGGGAAAGGCAGGAACTTCAGGGATGGCCTTCCAAGGAGATTATTTCAAGAACTTTTCAAGAAGCCAGTGCTGCACTGCCAGATCTCCTCTAGTCTGCCTTACTGCGGGGGCCGGCACTGCAGCCACATGACACTGGGGAGTCATGGAGGGTCCTGCCTTGCCCAGCCAGCACAGGCCATCATCCCAGGATGCACAGGACAAGACTTAAACTTGGGAATGGGCCTCTACTGTACTCTAGAAGGTGGGAAATTAAATACCATGGCTAAATAATAGTATTACTGCAAGCCTCTTTGGGTGCGCTTTAAATTAAATTTTTATATATCTCTTAAGTCTTCAGGAAGCTAAAGGCAACATAAATATATACCATGAAAAGACTTTCAATAACTTAGGAAGGACTTAATGAAAGTACAAGTATTTTTGAGGCTTATCATGAAACCTAATCCACGAATTAAACCAAAACGGACTCAGATTCTCAAGACCTGGAAAGCAAGCAGAGGCGCTGATGTCGGATGTGGCGTGGGCCGTGCCACCATTTCACTTATTCTCTGGCCTGTAGACCTGAAGCAGAGACGAGCGAACTGCGAAGTGTTTTCACCCTCTGTAAACGCGTGCTGGTAGTGTCTTGTTGGGAGTGGATTCTCTCATACAAAAGTTATAAATATTCTCTATTCAGAAATCTGGTCCACATGGCACCCAGAGGCAACATTCCACGACACATTTTGCCGTGTAGAGCGTTGGGTGTGGGCTGAGTCTGGCTGGGCTCACAGCAAGTCCATCTTGGGTCTGTAGTGTAGCAGGAGGGGCGCCTTCTGCAAGACAAAAACAAGGGTGGCTGAGGGAGGTACAAGGGGCCTAGACTGTGCACTCAAACCACAGGCACACACTGTACCAGCAGCGCCACAACTGAATCCAGTTCTGGGGACAAGGAGTAATCGTCATTGGTCTCAGGTAACCCAGTGGTCACCTGTGTGGGTGTTTGGGGCTCATGACAGAGCCTGTGCAGCCAGAACCTCAACTTGCTCCTCCTGCCTACTAAACTAGCTCTGGGATCTCCTATACAGTTTCTTACACTCTCCAACCCTTGTCCTGGTCAGCATCAACTACTGGTCATCCCAGTCTTTGGCTGGCCCAGTTGTCTCCGTCCCCTTCTTCCTGGGAAGCAACATGGCTACAGGTTGAAGAGCTGCATTCCAGTCCTGGGCAGGGTACGCAACACCAGTTTCCAGACTCAGAAAGGTACCCCAAAGTTTGAGTTTGCTCCAACTGTGGCAGCTACCACATCTGGTCCCCTGGACTCAGGGGATTGAGAGAGGTGGTGAGTAAAGACCCTGGCTGGGTGGATGATTCAAGAAAGACAGCTGTTCCACAGCAGTGTCTGCAAACAGAAGACATGCATAGCAAGTAAGGATCAAGAGTCTATCTAAAACCTGGCATTCAAAAGAACCACCCAGTCTCATGCCAGGTGGTGGTAGTGCACACCTTTAATTCCAGCACCCGGGAGGCAGAGCCAGGCGGATCTCTGTGAGTTCGAGGCCAGCCTGGTCTACAGAGCGAGATCCAAGACAGGCACCAAAACTACACAGAGAAGCCCTGTCTCAAAAAAACAAAACAAAACAACAAAAAGAACCACCCAGTCTCACCTTGAATCTCCACCTTGTAACAACCACGAACTTGAGAGTGTGGTCCTTGCCCAGGATCTCTTCGTTGCATAAAATGTCCAGCTGGTGGGAGAAGGGGCTTCAATTAGGTACATATTCAACCTATCTAGAGAATGAGGCCAACAGTAATAATATGAACAACACTCTCATATGTTCTGAAACAAGCCCCTCCCCAGTCACGTGGGAATATAGCTTGCCTGCTTATTCCAATATAGAAGCCAGCTGCAAACACGAGGTATAACAGAAAAGGAGCATTTCTATTAAGACCAAAACTTCTTCAGGGGTCAAAGATACAGTGGTGTACTTCCAAGAGGTTCAGCCTAGTTGCTCTGAGCATCAATGATGCCTGCCCTGTCCCTACCCCTGTTCTGGGTTTCTCTAATGAATTTCTGGAGGCATCAAAATGTGGACCCCTCCCTGGATCCCCACTCACTGTACCTCAAGTCATTGTCCTCCCTCTAAGTGGTAGTGAGATATAAATTCCTGTGTTTACTGACTGACCCTTGAAGGGCCTAGCCACCACCAACAGTTCAGTAAGCTACAGCAGTGACTCCAGGCTACCCAGACAGCAAGGTGGGAAGGTATACCAAAGAAGTCACAAGATAATTTTTCTTCATACAAAACACAAGGCCTGGTCCACACAGAGTATATAGAACCTTACCACATAGAGCACACAGGCCTTCTTCACATACAGCTGCAGGGATTGATCTACACCCACCTGCTAGCTTACACCATCATGGGTTTCAGACCAGGATGCTTTCACCATGGCTGCCCTGCCCACTGTCCCTTACTTCTAGCTATCCTGTTCTCAATACAGTGAGGGAAATGTGCTCTTGGACTTTTTCTCACTTATTTAATAGACTTTACTACTTAACAGTTTTAGGCTCTCTCACGTCATCTTACATATACATATTCCCACAGAGAGTAGACTGTTAGGCATATGGGTTATATATCCTGTACTTCATTCAGTCTGTGAGGAGCCAGCAACCTGGCTGCCACCTTCCTATAACAGTCTATTCCCATTGCACCTAGTTGTGGTTCTGTGTCTCCTCATCTGAAGTCTAAAGCTTATAGGTGTATCTGGCCAGCACTGGCCCTCCACTTCTCCAGGCTCACCTGGATAGCACTTGCCATTATATAATCTGCACATGGGTGCTTGAGGACGTGCATGGTGATGTCTGTTTTTTAAATTTGTATTTCCTTAAGTGTGTGATCAATGACCCAGATGGTCTTGGTATCTCTCTAGGCAGAGGACAAAGGCTGTTCTCACAGGCCACATAGGAATGTGTATTTCTTGTAGACAGACCAGCCTTTGGGTCCATGAAAACTCAACTGTCTGCCGTCATCTTTGCTAAGTGGTGTTTACCTTGTGATACACAAACTGCATATAAGCTCCTGTCCCCAGCAAGGCATAATGCCCTCACCCAGTTCTTATGACTTGCCCTTAGTGCTTTCCCCCTTCCTTATCCAATGTCCATGACAATGCTCCCCACACTTCACACAGCATTAGGGACTGCAGGGCTCTGAGAGCAGTGTGAGATCCACCTGGGATACTCATGAGCTGATAGCCAGTTGCAATGAAAATGCTTCAAGCCGGGCGTTAGTGGCGCACGCCTTTAATCCCAGCACTCGGGAGGCAGAGCCAGGCGGCTCTCTGTGAGTTTGAGGCCAGCCTGGGCTACCAAGTGAGCTCTAGGAAAGGCGCAAAGCTACACAGAGAAACCCTGTCTCAAAAAACCAATAAAAAAAAAAATTAAGAAAATGCTTCACTTCTTGTTGGTCCTCGCGGAGAAATGTTCCTGCACATGGAAGGCAGCCTCCCCTTGAACTGCCTGATGTTCCTGGCTCTGTACAGTCATGGAAGCCACTTCAAATCAAGATGGACATCTTTACCTTCATAGGGTCCAAGTCTCTCCTCTACCTTATTCCCCAAATAAACCAAATCTAGACTTTCTTTTCTTTTTCCTGTGAGTTCCTGGTAGTGAGTATCAAGTTATATCCTCATTCTGTGTCTGCCACCTCCTTCCCAACCACTCATGTGGTTGGCTCAGGGTTGAGCACTGGGCTGCTTGACAGTCCAAAACCCTGGTTCCTGGGTCTGATACACAGCTCTGAAGAGCACTGTGGCAAGACTGCCAGGAGTGTCTTTCAGTGTGGCTATAATTAAACAGCACAGACTGGGCAACTGATGAAGTTAATATGTTAATATAACAAAACATTAACATATTTTAATATAACACAATGAACAGTTAATATATAACTGGTTAACAGCTAATATGTACTACAGGCTGGAATTCTGGTTATAATGTAAGCACTTGCTGTCACTGCAAGCTATAATAGAGCAATGAAAGATTCCCTAGGTACCAGTCATGATTTAAACACCTCCCCAAGGCCCTGCCTCCCAGCACCATGGGGTTGAAATGGAGTTTTCAGCACACGGACCTGAGGGACACTGAGTACAAGAAGATCCTCTTGCCCTATGGTTTCTAGGGTCTTGTGTCCAGGTCACTGCAGTCCCTGCCTCTGTTATCTCTATCTTGCTTCCCCTGACCTGTATCTAAAATCTTCTTCTACTGCATACTAATACAGGATGCTTATCCCTGGGTTTAGGCTTAGTAGACAATCTGAGATGTTTCATCTCAAAATCCTTAAGATGTTACATCTGCCAAGACCTTCTTCCAGTGGGCATACCCACAGGCTCCTGCTGGGACACAGGCTCGATGGCTGGCACCGCTGTATATACTACTCTCCAAACTATTCTCAACCACCACTCACATGTACCTGCTGCAACCTTCTGGACCGTCTGTCTTGACAGGGGTCTATGCGCCCTCTAAGTCCTTTTCCACACAGCCTTAGAACTCTTTTGACCCTTCCTTGGTGCAGCAGGACCAGTTCCTGCTGTTCTTGCTCAAGTACCACACCAGCCTGGGTTTCTGAGCACATGTACGTACAAGTCTCTGCCGTGAGCCCTGACGACAAGCTCTGGGTCTGTGGGTCTACTTGGGTTTCAGCTATTGATCTGTAAGTACCCACCACTTGTTCATTCATCCATCCACCACCCCTCATTCATCAAATTAAAAAACAAAAGCTCTGGGACTACAGAGATGGCTCAGTAGTTAAGAGTACTTGCTCTACATAAGGCCCTGAGTTCAGATCCTAGTACTAACATAAAAATCTGGGCATGAGCCAGGCAGTTGTGGCACATGCCTTTAATCCCAGCACTGAGGAGCTGTTACACAGAGAAACCCTGTCTCAAAATACCAAAAGTAAGCCGGGCGGTGGTGGCGCACGCCTTTAATCCCAGCACTTGGGAGGCAGAGCCAGGCGGATCTCTGTGAGTTCGAGGCCAGCCTGGGCTACCAAGTGAGTTCCAGGAGAGGCGCAAAGCTACACAGAGAAACCCTGTCTTGAAAAACCAAAAAAAAAAAAAAAAAAAATACCAAAAGTAAATAAATAAATAGAATCAAGTAGATAAATTAAACAAACTGAATTCTATATAAGGAGCAGCAAAATGGCTCAGTGGGTAAGGGCACTCTGCTGCCAAGCCTGACAACCTTTGAGTTTAATCACCAGGATTTCCATGGTGGAGGGAGAGAACTGACTTTTGCAAGTGTGTACACACTTGTGTACACACACACTCACACACACACACACACACACACTCACTCACTCACTAAATAAATCTAATTAAAAACATTAAAAAAAAAATCTCCAAACAGCCAGGCGGTGATGGCAGACACCTTTAATCCCAGCACTTGGGAGGCAGAGCCAGAGCCAGGCGGACCTCTGTGAGTTCGAGGCCAGTCTGGTCTACAGAACGAGATCCAGGATAGGCACCAAAACTACACAGAGAAACCCTGTCTCGGGGAAAAAAAAAAAAAAAAAAAAAAAAAAAAAGAGGGATGTGTGTGTCTTTGGCTGTTATTTTAACAAACAAGACAGGCAAAGAAGGATCCATCCCAGATCTTTGGCTGATGACTACCTCATTGAAGGAGGAGAGATTGAGCTTCTTGGCGATGAATTTCTTTAGGTGCAGCACTGTTGCTTGGGCTGAGCATCGGATCCACTTCCGCTTCAGGCCCCGTAGTTTGCTGCTATTGCATTCCAGACAGATGCTCACCTGGAAGAGAAAGGATATGAGGTCAGGACTGCCAACTCTCAGACTTTTCCTGGACGAGCACTAGTTTCTACATCTATGAGTACTGGTCTTTGAAATCAGAACAACACTGTACTAGGATTTCTACCTCGGTCATTTTATACCTCCTTTTAAAACCTCCTCAGAGTCTTTGTGATGCTGAGAAACACTCTAGCCTGTCAATTTTGGTCTTCTTAATTTAGTCACCCTGAGAGTTATGTGTCTGTATTTGCCAAGGGCACTGAGTCTTTAGTGTTCTCAAGTGGCTACCCTGTCCAGACAAGTCCTGTACTGAGCAAGGTTTGTGAGGGAAACAGAGGTGTGTTCTTGACAGGAAGGCCATGAGCAAAGCCTTGGCCTGACACTTAGATGGGTGCTCTGGATGAGCCATTATTTTCTAGAGTCAGAGTACAGGTGTGGGATGGAAACCTACAAGTGGAGTTAACTGTTGGATCCTAATACAATGCAAATGGAGATCTGCTTCAGGGAGACAAAGCCTTATCCCAGGACTGTAGAGAGAGCATCTCCAACATGGGTTCATTCAAATTTCTGAAAATTCAGGTAAAAGAATTAAAAAGGAAAGTAACTGAGATAATGATCATAAAATCACAAGAAATAGAAAAGGAAGAATTAAAAACATAAGATACTGAGTAAAGAACATGTTACAGGCATAAAAATACAACACAACTTCTAAAATTAGTAAACACATTCACTGAAGCTAAAAACACTGGGTACCTTAACTACTCAAGACAAAAAAACTTTCTCAAAGATCACTTGAGGAAATTACAAGTGAGAATTTAAGTTTAAAGGCAAAGATTCAAATTAAAGTATCAGAATTAAGGAAGCCAATAAGAAAGACAGATGGAGACAGACTTGCACAGAGGGAGGGTCAAGGGAAGTCAGAATTTAAAAATAAGTTCCCTGAAGGATGGAAGACCAGGAAAGCAATGGTCAGATAAAAACAAAGGGGCTAGAGAAATGGCCCCTTTGTAAAGTACATGATGCTCTTCCAGGAGACCCAAGGGTTTAGTTCTCAGAACCCATGCTGGGCAGCTCACAACCAGCTGTAACTTGAGTTCCAGGATGCCTAATGCCTTCTTTTGGCTTTCACAGGCACCTGCACACATGGAGCGCGTGCGCACGCGCACACACACGCACACACACACACACACACACACACACACACACACACACACACACACATTAAAAAGAAGGCCGGGCAGTGGTGGCCCACGCCTTTAATCCCAGCACTCAGGAGGCAGAGGCAGGCAGATCTCTGTGAGTTCAAGGCCAGCCTGGTCTACAAAGCGAGTTCTAGGACAGCCAGGACTACAAAAAGAAACCCTGACTCAAAAAACAAAACAACAACAAAAAAAAAAAAAGAAAAAGAAAAGGGGGGAGGCACAACTTAAACAGAAGGACAACTTTCTTGAAATACCTTATTAAAAGATAAAAAGAAATGATATAGAGGTAAGGTAGTGCATTGCTAAGACACATCTGTTGGATGCAGTGCATAGGCCTGTCATCCCAGTACTCGGGGAGGTAGAGGTAGGTAGGTCAACCTCAGCTACAGAGATTTTCAAGTCAGCTTGCTCTATGTGAAGCTCTGTCTCCAAAAACAAAACAAAACCAAAAGGAGAGAAAGGAGATACTGGCCAAGTGATTAGAAAATAGATTATTACTAAATCACATTACAGAGTAAGAATGAAAAAGAGCTCCTTTCAAACAACTATGGAAAAGACTGGTTTAGGAAGATGGATAGGAAGGAGACAGGAGGAATCTTAGGGGTAAGCTGCTGACTATCATCAGCTATGGACTTTTGAAAATGTATGTATTCATTTAAGCAATTTGTAACCAGTAAAGTAAGAACATTTAACTTGCAAAACAGACATAACAAAAAAAAAAGATTAAAGAAAACATTAATTCTCTGCCATCAACCCTACCTAGTACCAAAAAGGGAAGCAACAAGAACAAAATAAACATGTTAAGTTAAAGCAGAAATCAGCATCAATTTATCAGTAGTCATGGGAAATATAACTAACTTGCCATCTAAACTTTCTAGGGACTGGAGAGATGGCTCAGTGATAAGAATACTTGCTGCTTTTGAAGAAGACTCAGGTTTGGTTCCTTGCACTCACATGAGAGCTTATAACCATCTTGCTTCTTGCTCCAAGGAGTCTTCAGGCACCAGACACATGCATGATGCACATACATCCATGTAAGCAAAATACTCACATAAAAAAAAAATCTTTAAAAAGAGAAAAATTCTGGTTTGATTAAATAAAATCAAGTCAATGTTAGATATTAGAGGAAGATATTTAATAAGCTGAAATACCAGATTATTAACCAAAAGAAATCTGGCTTAAGTTAATAAGAGATAAGGTAGACTTTAATGGAAAAAAATGTCCCTAAGAAAACATTCCCTAAGGAATGTTTATAAATTTACATGCACCAACTGATTGGAGCAGATGCAGAGACCCACAGCCAAACATTAGATGGGGCTCAAGGAATCCTGCAGAAGAAGGGAAGGAAGGATTGTAGGAACCAGATGGGTCAAGGACACTACAAGAAAACAGCCATAGAATCAACTAACCAGGGCTCATATGGGCTCACAGAGACTGAACCATCAGGAGCCTGCATGGGTCTGACCTAGGTCCTCTACATAAGTTATGGTTGTGTAGAGCTTGGTGTGGGACTCCTAACAGTAGAATCAGGGGCTGTCTCTGACTCTTTTGGGACTCCTACTGTGTTGCCTCATCCGGCCTTAATATGAGGGAATGTGCCTAGTCTCATTGTAACTTGATATGCCATGTTTGGTTGATATCCCTAGGAGGGTTGCCCTTTTCTGAAGGGAAACAGAGCAGGAGTGGATCTGCATGGGAGAGGGAAGATAGGGGAAGGGCTGGAAATTATCTTAGTGTTTCTATTGCTGTGAAAGGACACCATGACCATGGCAACTCTTACAAAGGAAAACATTTAATTGTGGTGGCTTGCTTACAGTTCAGAAGTTTAGTCTATTATCGTCATGGCGGAAAGCAAGGCAGCATGCAGGCAGACATGGTGCTAGAGAAGGAGCTGAGAGTTCTTACATCTTAACTCACAGGCAACAGGAATTGGTCTGTCTCACTGGGCATAGGTTGAGCATATATGAGACTTCAAAGCCTGCCTCCACAGTGACATACTTCCTCCAACAAGGCAACACCTCCTAATAGTGCCACTCCTTTTGGGGGCCATTTTCTTTCAAACAACCATAGGAGGAGAGGAGGGAGGGGAAAATGGTCGAGATGTAATATATGAGAAAAGAATTTTTTAAAAAATTGCACGCATCTAGTGACCTTTGTGAATGGACTGCAGTAGCCCCATTTGACACCTACTTAGCCAAATGCTGTAAGCTGTGAGCTATAGTGTGCTCTAGCCAGAGTCTGCATCTTTGTGAGATATGTAGTCCTGTGCTTAGCTCTGGCTAGAGGACTCGGGTGTATTCAGGAAAAGTGTGATCAAGGCCATGGACCCCCAGGGAGCGAGATGTCTGAAGCACACCTATGCTTCAGGTGTGCTTCATTTGAGGAATAGAAACAGCAGAATGCATTCATTCCATAGGACTATGGGTCTGAGCCATCTGTGAGACAAGAGCAGGTGCCTGTAAAGTTTCACAAACAAGAAACTAAGACCTTGGAAAGGTGACCACCTGCAGCAGTCAGGTCTGAGATAAGACTCAGAAGGTGAGGGAGGCATCAGGGCAGATGGGTCAGGAGTAACTGATATGAATCTTTCCCCACACAGGTACTGCTGTCCAGACTCCAAGGTGTATGTGGGGGAGGTTGAGACCTTAGAGTGGAGGACATGCTTTGTTACAGGTAACAGAATTTCTTGTCTGCAACAGAGATTGTCTAGGGAACCAGGCCACAGGATTTTACTTCCTGCCTCTCCTCTACCCCTGCACTTGCTCCACATTCTTTGACGCTTTCCCCTCTTGCCATGTAGCATCTGATCTAGATTTTACACCAGCTGCAAGAAACTCAAAGGCAGAATGGTGCCTCCCCACGGGTGAGGGCAGCACTGCCACTGCTGTCCTCCAGGACTGCAGAGGTGGGAAAACAGCTAGAAAGCTACTGTGTACAGAGGCTGCTCTGGGAAGGTCTTTCTATGTAGAAATTAAAGGAGAATTCAGAATGAAAATAGACTTAATTGAGGTAGATGAGCTTGAAACGGGGGCGGGGGGCACAGAAAGAGACCTGGTGCTCCTAGGTGTTCTTGCAGGAGGTGACAGCCTATCCTTCCGTCCTTGCAAAAGAGCCCCATGAAGAGAAGGACAGGGATCAATGTAAGTTGGGGACCCCTAAAGCCCATAATGGCTGTTCAAAAAACAAACAAACAAAAAACACCCAAAGCCCCATCATAGTAGACATTGGGGAGCAAAAGAGGGGCCCTTGTGGAAACAAGACTCACATTTCCACCCCAGATGTCCCTTGACCACAGGTGGGGTTTCTGGGTGTGAAAATATCTTGTAGAAGGCATCTCCTGAGGAAATAGCTTGAGAGAGAGAGAGAGAGAGAGAGAGAGAGAGAGAGAGAGAGAGAGAGAGAGAGAGAGAGAGAGAAAGAGAAAGAGAAAGTGATTAGAGCCACCTGCCCACTCACCAACCACCTGCTACTCAGGCTGTCCCAAAAGAAGTAACTCAGCCTTAGGGAAAGAGACCTGCAGCTACCGAGAAAGACTGTGGCACAGCTAATGGTCCTGCCCAGACGGCCTTTTCACTGTGAACAAGGGCAAAAGAAAGGAAAAAGGGAACCAAGTAGTTCTCAACTTGGGGCAAAGTTGAGAGGAGGAAGAAGAAATGAAGAGCAGAAGGAATAAAGGTTCCTTGTGTGGAACAGCAACAACAACCATGAGGCAGATTCATAGATAGCTGGGAACTCCCAAAACAGAATTAAGACTGAATCAGGTGGGGAGCGTGATCACCTACAGATAGGTGAGGCTCCCACAGAAAGAGCTCCTTCAATCCCTTGCCCCAGGAAATGGGAAAATTAAGGTCATGTAAATCATTTACTGGCCACAAGCCTATTCCTGGGGTTATTTAGTAGTGAAGACAGGGGACAAAGTAGGGGCAATTTCTGTTCAGAGAGAGGAAGAGGAAAGAGGAGTAAGTACAGTCCGAGAATTCAGAGGCCACCATGAACAGGACACCATCCAACTCCCTGATTGACCAAACACAATAGTTGGAGCCATGGTCCAGAGTGGTCAGGGCTCTCCTGTTTTACCCAGCTGTGGTCACAGAGAGGTCTAGACCTTTCTGCCATTGAGTGCCAGTAGATGGTCCTGCCTAAGCTAACAGGGAACACAAGAGGAGATAGACTGACATACACATGGGGTAGGCAGTTTGCCTTTTAATTTGTTTTCCTTTTTGGTCCTGGGTCGGGGGTGGGAGACAAACTTAGGGCCTTGTGCATGCCAGGCAAGCTTTCTACCATTGAACTACATCCTTAGCTCTCTTAGTGTGCCATTTTTCTTTCCTCTCTCCTTCCTTCCTTCTTGAGATAGTTTCATTATGTAGCTCTGACTAGAATGGAACTATGTACAACCAGGCTGGTGTTGAACTCACAGAGAGGTCTGCCTGCCTCTGTCCCCATCCCCCAAGTGCTGCAATTAAAGGTATGTGCCACCAGCCTTGTCCATTTTCTGTTCTTAATAGTTAATGTTTAAGACACAATCCAGTTGAAAAGATATATCTTAAAAGATATAAGACAACCTGGCGGTGGTGGTGCACACCTTTAATTGATAAAATTATTTTGAATTTAGAATTCATTGTGAATGTGGACAGTAATAAATACGCCAACACACAAGAACTTGAAATGTTTACTATCCACACACTTGTTCTGAAATGACATATAAAACAGAACCCACAAAAGAGAAAGACTGAAGATAAATCCAACATTGTGGGAAAATAAAACAAACACCCAAAGAGCTGGACATGGTGACACAGACCTCTAACCTTAGCTACTCAGGAGGTTGAGGAAAGAGCATCCTGAGTTCAAGGCCAGTCTGAACAACTTAATGAGAACCTGTCACAGAATGAAAACTAGAGTGAGAAGAGGGCTGCAGCTGTAGCTCAGTAGTAAAGCACTTGCCTAGAGTGTGTGAAGCTTTCAGTTGTACCCTAGCACCACAAACAAAACTAATACCAAACTCAACAACAGCATGAAACGTAACTAAATCTATACAACTATCAGTTTGGCATCTAAGTTTTACTGTTGGAGAAGAGTTCTGGGAATGCAGCTTTCTTGGTTAAGTGCTTGCTTAACAAAGCACTAGCTTTGATCCCTACAACATAACTGGTACAGGCTGTGCATACCTGTAATCTTAGCACTTAATTAAGGAGTGGAGGCATGAAGATCAGAAGTTCAAGATCATCCTTGGTTAAACAGTGAGCTCATGGCTAGAATGGTTTATGTGAGACCCTGTCACAAACAAACAATCTCCCCAAAACCAAACCAACTTTATTTTGGCTTGGTTAAATTTTTCTTTTTTAAGAAACTTTTTTTTCCTTTTTCTTGTTCTTTTTTTTTTTTTTTTTTTTTTTTGGTCTTTCAAGACAGGGTTTCTCTGTGTAGCTTTGCGCCTTTCCTGGATCTCGCTCTGTAGACCAGGCTGGCCTTGAACTCACAAAGATCTGCCTGGCTCTGCCTCCCAAGTGCTGGAATTAAGGGCGTGCGCCACCACCGCCCGGCCTTCTTCTTCTTCTTCTTTTTTTTTAAATGCTATTAATTCTTTCAGAATTTCATACAATGATTTTGGTCATTAAAATATTTTTAAAGTTTTGCTTTTTAATTAAAAAAAGATTTTATTATATTGTATGGCGTTTTGGCTGTATGTACATCAGTGTATGTGTATGTCTGGTGCCTTCTGAAGCTGGAAGACAACACTGGATTCCCTAGAACTGGAGTTACAGACAGTTGTAAACTACCATGTGGGTGTTGGGAATTGAACCTGAACCTCTGGAAGAGCAGCCAGTGTCTTAACCTCTGAGATTAACTTCTCCAGCCCTTAAAGTCCTATTTTTTGAAGAGAAGGTCTCATTCAGAATGTCCTCAAAATGGTGATAATTTTCCCACCCCAAGTGCTGGGATTATAGGTATTGAGTCACCAGGTTATGCCAAAATTTTAATAAAAATAAGCAACAGTTTATGGAATAACAGTAGTGGGAAATAAAATAAAAAATTACAATGACCATGACTCTCCTCTGAGAAGGCTGCTCATGCTTTTGGATGTGTCTTACTTTCTTCTGACATCTCTCTTTCTCTTACCCCTTATGCCTAAGCCTATACTAAAATCAAAATAACTTCATTAAGCCCAACTCTGATTCATTAAAAAAAAAATATTCTGAAACAAAGCATTAGATTACTTAAAAATGTAAACTTAAGCATGTTCGAAAATTTAAGAGTACCATGAAAGACTAAAAAGATACAGTATTTCCAGATTACTGGGTGAGAAGAAACAACCTAAGGATGGGTCAACAGGAAAGGGAAAAACAAGACAGCTACTCCAATGGACACAACTGTTAAAAAGGATCTTCAAGATGTGTTTAAAAATGCAACTAAAATACTATATTACATACACACCTAAAGCATCAGGACATGGAAAGGTCTAGAGAGACACCAAAGAAAGTGGCAACATCAAAGCCTGAAAAGTCAGGAACCAAAGCAAAGAAAGGGTATAGAAAAGGAGAACTCAACTGGGAGACAGCACATTCAAGAACGTGGGCCAGTCACAGCCAGTGTTCCCTAAGACAAACAACTACAGGACCACAGAGAGAGACTGACAGAAAGCAGTGATGATCCAGGGGACACAAATAAGAGAAAATAAGTGTGAAACCAACACTAACTGACCCTTAGCTGGCTTGGTACTTTATTGTCCATCACATGCTTCAACTGTACCCCACAGAAGCCTTGGGAAGACATAAGCACCATCCATTTCACAGGCAAGGAAACAGGCATGGCAGAGTGTCAGCTTATGAAAGTAGCTGCAGCTTAAGGTTAGGGTTAGGACATGAGAAGATGGGGCTATAGGTCCCATGTCTTTAACCACATCGGTGACTTAAAGAATAGTTTTTCTGGGCTCTCTGCACAACTGGACTATGAGGGCTTATCTTGGTTGTCAACTTGACACACCCACCTGGAAAGAAGGAACCTCAACTCAGGAACTGCCTCCTTCAACTGCTCTATGGGTGTTGGGGAATATTATTTTAAGGTGTGTTACTTTTGTTTATGTTGCATTTATTTAACTCTGAAGCTGTGTTTCTGTGCCTTTCTGAAATACCTGATGGTCTAATAAAGATCTGAACAGCCAATAGCAAGGCAGAAGAAAAGATAGACGGGGTTGGTAGGCAGAGAGAATACATAGAAGGAGAAATCTGGGAAGAGGGACTGAAAAGGGATCTAGAAGCCAGAGAAGGAGGAGGTCTACAGGGGCCAGCCACCCAGCTACAGACTAAGCCATGGAGTAAGAGTAATATACAGAAGTAAGAGAACGGGAAGAGCTCAGAGGCAAACGATAGATGGGATAATTTAAGGAAAGCTGGAAACAAACTAAGCCAAGCTAAGGTCAGGCATTCCTAAGTAAGAATAAGCTCTCGTGTGATTTATTTGGGAGTTAGGTGGTGGGGCCTCCCAAAAGAGCAAAACCAATCAACAACATATGGGCACATCTGTAGGGAATTTTCTTTATTGCTAAGTGATAGAGGTGGGGTCAGGCCAGACTACCAGGGGTAATACCACCACTTAATAGGTAGTCCTGTGTTGTGTTAGAAAGCTAGGTGAGCAAACCAAGGAAAGGAAGTCAGCAAGCAGTGTTCCTCTAAGGTCTCTACTTCAGTTCTTGCTTCTAGGTTCTTGCTTTGGCTGCCTTCCATGATGGACTTGGAACCTGTAAGCCAATATATCCTTGCCTCTCAAACTACTTTTGGTCAGTGTTTTATCACAGCAACTGAGAGCTAACTAAGACAGAAACTGGTACCAGGAACTGGTACTGTGATGGACCTGACTCTGTACCTTTAATGTCTTGGACTGTTTTATGGGATGAAGGCAGAAAATGTTGAAGCTTTGGGCTGGAAAAGCCATTGAGTGCTCAGGGCTTCGTGAGCTGTTGGAAGATAATTTGAGAGAAATGCAGACAGTGAAGGCCTGGCTAGTGAAGTTTCAGAGAGAAATGTGAGAGTAGCTCAAAGACTCCATGAGAGGGAGAGGAAGACTGTGTGTGTGTGTTTGTGTTTGAGACGGGGTCTCACTGTGTAGCCCTGGCTGTCCTGGAGCTCACTATACAGACCAGGTTGGCCTCAAATTCAAAGATCCACCTGCCTCGGCCTCCTGAGTGCTGAGATTAAAGGCATGAGCCACCATGCCTGGTCTTTAATGTTTATATGATATTAAGAATTTGTGATTTCTGGTCAGTTGGAACTGAAGAACAACTGTGATTAACAGGAGACCAGCACCACTGAAGTGAAACCTTTTGCTTTACTGGGACAATCATTGCTGGTTAGCTGGGGCTAAAAATATCAGCTGTGGTCAATAAGAGACTAGCATCATGGAGGTGAAATCTTCTTCCAAGTATTTCCTTAGGGTCACACACAGAAACTATGGTCCATTGTGGGGGACCAAGGCTGCACATTAAGCTGGCAGAAGACTTTAGCATATGGTATGGAAGTGTCTCCCACATGATACTGGTTTTTCAGGCATGTACAGGTCATAAAGAGCAATTGAGGCTTGGCACAGTGTGGCAGGGCTGGCATCTTCCTAAAGAGAGGCCAGAGAGTGTGTGTATGGTTGGGGGCAATTAGCGAAGGTGCAGCCTCAGTTACAGTGGAAACTCCAGGACTGGAAGAGTCCTGGAGAGAATCTGAGGTTTAGTACCAAGTAGGAGTATTGGAGCCCCCCAGGTGAGAGGCCAGGAGAGCTACTGAAGAAGATGCAGCCTCAGTTGCAGTAGACTTCTGCAAACTGGAGATACTAGGACAGTGGGAAGAGAGGCGAGTGTGGAATGGAGTTGGCCTGAACCTACCCTGAGACAACTTGTGTGTGCTACGGATGACAGAGTCAAAGAAGTGGAGCCGCCCAAGCCCTTGGGAACCCACAAGAGTCTGAGACCAAGATGCCAGACATTGAACTATAAGATTTTGGAGCTACACTGCTGGACTTTGGTTTTCCCTTAACTGTGATTACTTTTTTGTTGTTTGTTTTTCAAGATAAGGTTTCTCTATGTAGCCCTGGCTGTCCTCGAACTTGCTCTGTAGAGGCCAGTCATGATTCGACTGCCTCTGCCCACAACTGCTGATATTAATAGCATGTGCCACCACCACCCAGCAACTGTGATTGTTTCTATAGCCTGGTTCTTTCCTTCTGAAACAAGAATGAAACAACTCTGATTTTACAGGAGTGCAGAATTAAGACTTTTGACTTTTAAAGAGACTCATTGAGCCATCTTTTCAGTCCCCAAGACACTGAACTTTTAAGTGATGAAACTTCTTAAACACCGTGGGACTTTAAAGTTGTACTGTATTTTATATTCTCATATCAACATAAGATCCTAGGACAAACAAACAAGGAAAGGCTATGGTTTAATAGTGATATGTTTGTATGTCTAGTTGAGGAAAAGTAGACTTGTTATGGCTAATCTTGATTGTCTTTTTGACACATCTGGGAAGAAAGAATCTCAACTCAGGAAATGCCTACATCAAACTGGTCTGTGGGAATGTCTGTGGGGCATTTTGTTGACTGCTAATTAATGGAGATAGGCCCAGCCCACTGAGGACAGTGCTACCCTAAGGAGGTGGTCCTGAGTTGTATAAGAAATCTAGGTAAGCAAGCCAGAGGAAGGTAGTCAATAAGCAGTGTTCCTCTGTGGTCTCTGATTTAGTTTCTGCCTCCAGGTTCCTACCTTGAGATCCTATCTTGGCTTTTCTTGATGATGGACCATAAAGTGAAAAATGAAACAAGCCTCTTCCTCCCCAAGTTGCTTTTGGTCATGTTGTTTACCACAGCAACAAAAGAGCAAACCAGAACCTGGACACTGGAGGAGCAAGGACTCCATGCAGAGATCAACATAGACAGCATCCTCTAAATACGAGAGAAAGGAAATAAAAAGTACTACAGCCAAAGCAGGGTATTCAGGTGGACACTTGAGAACACTTATCTAGAATGGTAAGATGATGGCCTTCATGCCTCTCCAGAAATAGGATTATAAGGCACAACTTGTCAGTGCCAGGGATGTACCCAAGGCACCCAGGAAGTGCACAGCCTGTGTAAGATCAAGAATATACACAGAGTTTAGCTCCAAAGGCTAGACCAATACAAAAAACAAAAACAAAATTCACTCTTTACATATGCTTTAAGAAACAAACAAGTAGCATATTTGGTATAAAAAGGAAAAGGCAAAAATTAACAACAGTCAACAATAGCAATTTGTTAAATGTAAAAGATTAGAGAAAATACTCTCAACAATTCTATGCCAATCTATAGAAAACTGACACAAGCAACATCTAGGCCTGGGCAAGGTCTAGAGACCCAGTGGCTTCCAAAAGCATAGTAATGAGTCCAGGCAAGGAACACGATTGCTCCAGAAAGGCTAGCAGGCACATGGCCTACAGAGCAGGGTCTGTGAAACCTGGGGATATTGCCTGAGAGTTGTTCCAAGGTACCTACAGACAATACCTACTGTTATTATTTCTGTTACTGATGCTCAGAATCAGTAAAACAGATGAGACGAGGGGCCACTCACTCCAAGGTGACTGTAGTGCCTGTCTACACAAGGGTAGTCAGAGTGGTCCTCTCACCAAAGGAGAATGCTTATCCCACATTTATCTGCAAACCTATCCCTATTCTGTGGTGCTAACTATCATTAACCGCAGAAATGGACATGTTAAAATAAGATTCCACCATTCTAGCCCCAAATATACTGTTTCAGTTACTATGTCTTCTGATAGGGCCAAGATCACCCCCACCATGTACAGCAATCTCATGGCTGTTGATGCACATTCATCTCCCAGTAAGCTGTATAGTGGCTGTTTCCTGTCAACCTTGGCATCATATCTAAAGTCAGACTGGGGAAAGGAGCTCTTTTCCAAGGAAATCATACCAAAATTTTTGTTGGTGGTGTGTGTTGGTTCTTTGCCAATTCTCAACATGTGCTAATTATTTCATGCTGAGCTAATCACCCATGGAGCAAAGTAAGTTCTGTTTTTAGTGGATTGTCTTAGGTTTTATGTAAGACAGCATTACCTAGGAATAATAAATAGCATCTTTGTTCCTCTTTAAGTGCCTCATTCTTGTTTCCCTGCCATTGGGAGAGGACTTCTAAACACAGAGCCAATCAGTCATGGCATTTCCTTACTCCTTGTTTTAGTAAGACAATGATCCTATTTCATCAAAAGCATCACAACTATTAGAACTCACAAACTAGGAAGTTCTGTAGACAGGGATACGGAGTTTTATTAGATCCTTCTATGGCACTTCTGTGATGATATGGTTTTTGTTTGGTTGGTTTGGTTTGGGTGGGTTGTTTGTTTTAGCTGATAATGTGGCAAATGAGACATGGAGAGTCCTCAACATTGCATGCTTACTTCCCTTCATCGTGCTGATGGGTCACTTCCCTTGGGGGCACAGCAGAGAAGGTACCAAACCACCAATAGTGAGTGTTTGCAGTGGGCTGTATAAAACATAATCTGGCCGGGCGGTGGTGGCGCACGCCTTTAATCCCAGCACTCGGGAGGCAGAGCCAGGCGGATCTCTGTGAGTTCGAGGCCAGCCTGGACTACCAAGTGAGTTCCAGGAAAGGCGCAAAGCTATACAGAGAAACCCTGTCTCGAAAAACCAAAAAAAAAAAAAAAAAAAAACAAACATAATCTGACTGTGAACTGTAATTCTTTATGTCTGAAATGCTTTACAGTTATCATGTGTTGCTTTGGTAATTAAAACAAATAAACAATAGGAATATAAAGAAAAGTTAAGGAATTAACAGGAGGAAAACTTTATGATGTTTTATCCTGTTACAACTTCATGAGACACTGAAGTATGCGAACACGGGAATGAACTGATGCCAGTTTTCACCTGCTCGTCACTCCTGTGGTAATCGTTGTCCTCCTCCTGCTTCTCTTCTGCTGTCTCTTTATTGGAACTGTCGTCTGCTTTGGTTTCACCTTTTAGCACAAATAGAAAATGTTGTACAGGTTGAAATATCTCTATTCCAAAATTCAAAAGTTCTAGTATGTAAAACTTTTTGAGGTGTAAGTGTAAACTTTTCTACTTAATCCCATATGACAGGTTGTATGTAGAAAAAGATAGAATTAAAATATTATATGCAACTTTTCCAAAATGAAAAAAAAAATCCAATACTGAAACACTTTTGGCTCCAAGTATTTTGGACTAGCGAAACCCATATTAAGAAATCCAAAATGTTATAATATTTGTAAAAGTTCACAGTATACTAAAAATGATGTTGAAATTCACTCTATTGAGAGCATACGTATGTCCAGTGATAGCAGTTAAAACCATTCTGCATGTTTGCTAAGGAACTAAGCAACTCTGTGGTATGAGGACCTATGGCTGCAGCTAGGTGAGGCAGATTTTGGATTATGTGTCTTGAGAGACTCATAGATTTGGACTAATATGTCTTAAGGGACTCAGAACATGGAGACAGTGACCAAAATTGGTGAGCACAGCAGAGACAAGCCTCTGGGTCCACTCAGCACTCACCACAGCAACCTTACTTCTGACTCATGGGACCTTACTATTTGGACAAATACTCAGGAACAGATTCTCACTTTTATCCACCCTACCCACTCTCACCCAAGCCTAGTCTGGCTCCCATAGGAACCTGAGCACCAACTCCCCTTAGGCTCTTAAGCATATACAGGCTGGTCTTGAGATTTCTCAGGAACTTACATGGTCCTAGTAGCAAAGTGCCAGTACTCAAGATTTAAATAATTTATTAAATACAGACTTAAAAGTACCAATTAATTTTATGCCCAAATCCAACTACCATTTGGCCTTTTTATCATAAAGCAAGCAAAGTCAGAATCTTAAGGATATCTACCTTCTATAGTTTTTTCCTAGGCCCTCTGTCCAATTCTGTTCTCTTCCACATGACCCCTAGGCATTTTCTAGTATCTCTTGTAGTCTAACCCACATGTCCAGCTACCAGGGTTGATGAAGAGCCTTTTCAACAACCATCAGAAAAAATGGTCAAAACCACCTAAGCCTTGAGACAAAGTGCTCTGTGGGGGAAAGCCTGATAAATGAGCCTCTGAATTGCATGGTGGTCTAATGCAGCTACTCACCATTGCGGGGATCTAAGTGCTGTTTTGCTGAGCACGCCTCCCCCTTGATGTCACCTGGTACCTCCATGCCCAGTTTGTGATAGAATTCCCTCTGTTTCCTCATTTCCGCTATTAAGAATGGAGACAATTTTAATATTCAGTAGGAAAGGACTTAAATAGTAAAACTGCTCACTAATGTCACACAAAGAAACTTGCAGAGTTAGATGAGTCTGAAGGATGATACTAGTAAGAAAATAAGCACAGGTCAGAACGAAAAACCTTAATGCCTTAGTTGCAGGTGTTTGAGAACACTGAGACAGGACACAGGTGTGCAGAACTGGTACAAAAAGATAGGCTCTGGAGCTGTAGGGATCTTGTTCCAGGACTATGACCCAACCTCCTCAGCCCTCTAAGATGGTGGGGGTTATTCATCACCTGGAGCATGACAGATCCTAGGGAGGTAGTTTGAGGGGCTCCTTAGAGTGTGAGAGACCCTGAGGAGATGGCCCAGATGACCCTTCATACATCATTACTAACATTGAGGCTGCTAGTGCATTCCTATGTACATATACCATTTTGGCACAGGCAGCTTGGCAATCCACACATACTGCCGAGTGCTCCCACTGTCCCTGTAGCCATGATGGTCACAATCTAGAACCATATGGCTGCCATCAAGTGCAGAAGAATTCTCACTAGGCTGAAGGTAGTAGATACACCTGGAAAACAAGGACAAACCCAGAACAGTCCTGTCCTGGAAACCTGTATTTGTGTGCCAAGGTCCCTTGGTCACATCAGAGACGGGCAGTGGCCAGTGGCCATGTCTGTCTTGTACTGGGTGAAGACTGCCTCCAGTGCTGTGGGCAGCAGTGGCCATGAAAGAAATGTAAGAAAAAGAGGAAACAGAAACCTCCAGACTACAGAGAAAGTTTATTCCTAAAGGCAGGCATCTAAGTCATGAAGCTGTCCAGGGTTTCAGATTACTATGCTTCTCTGGATCATTATCCAATAAAGCAGCATGGTCTGTCCTTAGATGGTCAGAATATAACCCCCACTGGCTAGACCAGGTTGATACCTTGTACTTGGAGGAAATTATCAATTACATGAGACAAAAGCAGCTTCTGATTTTCAGCAAAAGCTCCATTCATGAGACTAAAATTCAGACCCAAATGACATGCATCAGATTCTGGTCACTACTCAGAATACAGATGGCAAAGGAAACTTAAAATGATTTGTTCAAACCAAAAATTTACAAGTAACTCTATAAAAGATACTTTACATGTAGTCAACCAAGAAATAATTTTTCATTAAACTTTTTAAAATTTTACTTATTTTTTGAGACCTAGGGTCTTACTAGGTAGCACTAGCTGACCTGGAACTCATTGTGTAAACCAGGCTAGCCTCTAAGTCACAGAGATTAGTCTGCTTTTGCCTCCTGAATGCTGGGGTTAAAAGCATGTGCCATCATGCCTGGCCTTTTTAAGCTTTTCATCTGCACATTTATCTTTCCCTATAGATCTGGAACCTCTAGAGAGCCCAGAACATGTTCTGAACATGTCCAGCCTGAACAGATGCTTTGCAAAACCTGACTGTACACATATGAAGATGTGCAAGCTGTGAACCTGGTCAGAAAAGGAGTCCTTCCAGAGTGGAGGAAAGGAAGGGCTCAGCCCAAGAAATGCTCTTGGACCAGAGAGATGGCTCAGTGGTTAAAATGCCTGTCACCAAGCCCGACAACCTGAGTTTGCTACTGTGACCCACATGGTGGAAGGAAAGAACTGATTGCCACAAGTTGTCCCGACTTCTATATCCAACCACAGCACATGCATCAGGGAACACACGTGTCCCCACATGTACACAAATATACATAAAATAAATAAATGAAAAAAGAGAGGTTCCCATATACAAGTGTATGAAAGGCAACCCTGAAACCAGAGCATGGAACGATTTCTGACAAAGGGAAGTCACCCAAAGTGGCCTCAAAAAGAGCTATGACCTTAAGACCAAAAGCCCAGAACACCAAAGGCAGAAATAATTCAGCTTCTATCACCATGTTTACTGCCTATTTCCTTATTTTCCACCTATCATAATAAAAAGGTGGAACAATAATACCCCAGTATGTGGTTTGAATCTGAAATGTCTTCTGAAGGCTCATTTTTAAGGTTGCCAACTATGGGGCTCTTGGGAGGTGACTGGATCAGGAGAGCTCTAACTTCAATGGATAATCTCATTGCATTACTGACAGGTGTAAAAGGCAGGGCCTAGCTATAAGAAGTAGGTCCCTGGGCATGCTTCTAAAGAGGATCTTGCTCCTAGTCCTTCTTGTCTGTTTTTGCTCCTCTGTTTTCTGGCCACCATAAGGTAAGCAACTTTGCTCTGTTATACCCTTCCACCATGATATTCTTCTGCTTCACCATGGCCCACAAATAACAGAACTAGATGACCATGAACTTAAAATCCTAAAACAGTATGACAAAACTAGTTCTCTAGGGTGTTGGTCACAGGAAAAAAAAAAAGTCTAATATGTCCAATGTCAGGTATATACAAATATAGAAACATTCCCAGGAATGTTGGAACAAGCCTATTAATACCAGCACTTGGGAGGCAGACCCATGCAGATCTCAATGAATTCAAGGCCAGCTAGAGCTAGTCAGATCCTATCTACAAAACAAACAAACAAAACAAAAAACCACCCAAACAAACAAGCAAACAGATACAGAAACATTAACTGGAATTTTCTGGCATTATATATCTAAAATACATTAAAATTTAGCCAACAACACAAAAAAATTCTGTTAGTAATCTATCCTAAAGGTAAACAGGTCAACGTATAAGGAAGTCTTACTTGTAACACTGGAGGATCACACACAACTTAAGTGCTGCATGATAAACAGAGCTGAGCCAGTTAAACTTGGTCTAAGGTACATGGTATCTCCTCTGCTCAGCAGACAGCCCTACAGAAGGTGTGAATATTTCAGCACTGTCCAGAATCAACAGGCAAAGTGACTTCAACAGGTGTACCATGGGACTAGAGTAGGGTCACTACCCCAAGGAATCTTAGGCAGCCACTGCAAACAGTGCATGTGGCAAGGAGCAAAACCAGAGTTATGGAAAATACAGACTGTAAACTGGCTCAGGCTCTGCCAGTGTAATGCCCACACACTCAAAAAAGAAACAAGGATTCTCTCGGAATTTAGAAGCAGAATGGCATCTGAGACTCTACAACTATTCCCAATAAAACACTCTGCCAATGAGTTGACTTGAATTAGGTATGTCTGCTAGGCCCATAGTGGGTGCAACCCACTGTGGAAAGGCTGAGTCACACACACCAACAGCAAGCCAGACTATGTACACCAGCCCCACTCAGCATCAAGGCCCAGCTGGCTGCAGGTTTTCTATGTAAAGAAGCAAAGCAAACCTAAAGCTCTGTGACCGGAGGGCAAAACTGAGATGCTGCTAAAAGCTGAATAACAGAAGAAAAGCAAATTTCCAAAGCTTCTTGTGGATGAAATTCAAAATTCAGTACTAAGGGACTGGAGATATAGTTTAGCCACAGAACATTTGTCAATCAAAATACAGTAATGACAATGAAGTATAGTTTGTTTTTGTTTTTAATGTAAGCTCACTGATAAGAAGAATGGAATCCTTTTGGGGGACAATACTGATTCAATTGTGGTTAAAAGTTATTGCTTCAGTTCCTCACTCCATCCCTTTGTCTCACCCACCAACACCTGAGGCAGTCTTTCCCTGGAAACCTACTGACTACACTGGCCAGAGAGACAGGCAGGCGATCTTCACTCTCCTTGGCATCCTCCAATTCCAATTCTGCAGTCACAGTTTCATCTCCCAGCTCAGCAGCAGACCAACTGTGGGGCCAGTCTTCTCTTCTTCCATTCACTATGACTCCACAGAGCCCTATGGCAGACCCAGCTTTCTCCCCTCCTGTGAACATTCTCCATCCATCCCTCCCCACCTTTCTATCCAATCCCCATTCCTGAGTGTCAGCTCCCAATACCTAGAAACAAGTTCTACCCAGGGACCCCCAGTGGCCACACCTTACAGGGATTCAGAAGCACTCCCTATCAGGAAACCTACAGCCACCACACACTCTTAAGATCTAGAGAGGGCAACAGAAGTCAAAAAAATGGAAAGCCCACTCAACAAAGACAATACTAGATACCAACAAACTAGAATTGCAATTATTCCAAACCCAGATGCCTAGACATCAAGATAAAAACATAATAATTTCTATCCTGACTCATTTTTCATTCAGTAGTGAGTTGTGCAGTTTCCATGAGTTTGTAAGCTTTCTGTTGTTGATATTCAGCTTTAATCAGTGGTGGTCAAATAGGACAATATGTCTCCACTAAAGCCCAGCAACCCTACTACAGTAGTTCATGAGAAATGTGATATAGCTGAAGAACAAGACAAGGACTTCAAAACAGCCTTTATGAATATGCTCAAGGACCTTAAAGATGATATGAATAAATCCATTAATGAAATCTATGAAAATATAAATGAATGATGGAATGAAATGAAGAAAACTATTCAAGATGTGAAAGCAGAAATGGAATCAATAAAGAAAACCCAAACTGAGGGATATGGAAATGTGGTGATATTGTGTTCCCCAATATATCGTGAACCCTCATAAATTTATCTGGGGTAAATAGCCACTAGACAGACATGGAGGCCAGAAAATGGTGGCACTCACACCTTTAATCCTAGCCTTCTGGAGGAAGAGATCCATCTGGATCTCTGTGAGTTCAAGGCCACACTGGAAACAGCCAGGCATGTTTAATCCCAAGAAGTGATGGCAGAAAGCAGAAAGGTATTGAAGGCGTGAGGACCAGGAACTAGAGCTGGTTACGCTTTTAGGCTTTTGAGCAACAGTTCAGCTGAGATCCATTTGGATGAGGACTCAGAGGCTTCCAGTCTGAGGAAACAGGATCAGCTGAGGAAGTGGTAAGGTGAGGTAGCTGTGGTTTGTTCTGTTTCTCTGATCTTTCAGCATTCACCCCAATACCTGGCTCCGGGTTTGTTTTTGTTAATAAGACTCTTTAAGATTCATGGAAATGAAAAATTCAGAAACTCAAACAGGAACCTCAGAGGCAAGCCTCACTAACAGAATACAAGAGATGCAAGAGAGAATCTCAGGCACTGAAGACAAGGTAGAAGAACTGGATGCCTTGGTCAAAGAAAATGTTAAATTGAAAAAACTCCAGGCACAAAAACATCCAAGAAATCTACGACACTATGAAAAGACCAACTCTACATATAACAGGAATAAAGGAGAAGAAACCCAGGTCAAGGCATGGATAATATTTTCAACAAAATCATAGAAGAACTCTTCCTTAACCTAAAGAAGGAGGTGCCTATCTAAGGTAAAAGAAGCATACAGAACACCAAATAGACTGGATAAGAAAAGAAATTCCCCATGACACATAATAATCAAAATATTAAACATACAGAACAAAGAAAGAATATTAAAAGCTGCAAGGGAAAAATGATCAAGTAACATATAAAGACAGATATATTAGAATAGCACTTGACTATTCAATGGAGACTCCAAAAGCCAGAAGGACCTGGAGAAGATGTTCTACAAACTCTAAAAAACCACAGATGCCAGTCCAGACTACTATACCCAGCAAAACTTTCAATCACAAGAAATGATTCAATCACAAGAAAGACATTCCACATTTAAGCAGTACCTATCTACAAATAGAGCTCTTCAAAAGGCACTAGAAAAAAACCTTCAATCGGAAGAGGTTAACCACACTCAAGAAAACACAAAGAATATATCATCTAAGACCAGCAAATCAAAAGGGGTGGGGATGGGGTTCTACACCACCACAACAAAATAACAGGAATCAACAGACACTGCTCATTGATAACTCTCAACATCAATGGTCTCAATTCCCCCAATAAAAAGACACACACTAACAGACTGGATACAAAAACAGGACCATTCCTTTTACTGCACCCAAGAAATATACCTTAACATCAAGGACAGAAATCACCTCAGGGTAAAAGGATGGAAAAAGATATTCCAAGCAAATGGACCCAAGAAAGAAGCCAATGTAGCCAATAAAATACACTTCAAACTAATCCAAAGAGATAGGGAAGGACACTATATATACTCAACAAAGGAAAAATTCACCAAGAGGATTTACATTTTTTCCCCCAAAATAGAGTTTCTCTGTGTAGCCCTGGCTGTCCTGGAACTCTTTTTTGTAGACCAGGCTGGCCTTGAACTCACAGAGATCCACCTGCCTCTACCTCCTAAGTGCTGGGATTAAAGGCACATGCCACCACTGCTAGGCAATATTATAATTCTTAACATCTATGGACAAACACAAGGGCATTCAAATCCATAAAAGAAACCCTACGATAACTAAAATTACATATTGGCCCTCACACAATGAGAGTGAGTGACTTCAATACCAACAGACAGGTCATCCAGACAAAAACTAAACAGAGAAGTGCTGGAGCTAACTGACCTCATAAACTAAATAGACCTAACAGATATTTACAGAACATTTCACCCTGACACAAACAAATATAGCTTCTCAGTAACTCTAAAACTGACCACAAACTTGACACAAAGCAAGTCTCAACAGATATAAGAAAACTGAAGTAACACCCTACATCCTGTTTGACCACCATGGATTAGAGCTGGATATCATCAACAACAGAAACAACAGAAAGCTTACACACTCATGGAAACTGAACAAGTCACTACTGAATGAAAAAACAACATACCCAAACTTATGGGACACAATAAAGGCTATTCTAAGAGGTAAGTTCATAACACTAAGTGACTATATTAAAAAATTGAGACAGGTAGTGGTGGCACAGCAATTGGGAGGCAGAGGCAAGGGGATCTCTGTGAGTTTGAGGCCAGTCTGATCTACTGAGCTAGTTCAAGGATATTCAGGGCTACACAAAAAACCCTGTGTTAAAAAACACACAAACAAGTCGGGCGGTGGTGGCGCACGCCTTTAATCCCAGCACTCGGGAGGCAGAGCCAGGCGGATCTCTGTGAGTTCGAGGCCAGCCTGGGCTACCAAGTGAGTTCCAGGAGAGGCGCAAAGCTACACAGAGAAACCCTGTCTCGAAAAATCAAAAAAAAAAAAAAAAAAAAAAAAACCCACACAAACAAAAAATCGGCGAGATCTCATATTTCTAACTTGATGGCATACCTGAAAGCTCTAGAACAAAAAGAAGGAATAATACACAAAGGAGTAGATGGAAAGAAATAATCAAACTCAGGGCTGAAATCAATAAAATAGAAACAAACAAAAATAAAACAACAACAACAACCAAGAAAAAAACCCAAAAAAACCCCAAAAAACAATGAAATAGAGTTGGGTCTTTGAGAAAAATCAAAAGATTTACAAATCTTTAGCCAGGCAGAGAGAGAAGATCCAAATTATCAAAATGAGATATGAAAAGTGGGACATAATGACAGGCACCAAAGAAAAGCAGAGAATCCTATGAGTAACCTTAAAAACCTGTACTTCACCAAACTGGGGAAGAAAAGCAGAGAATCCTAAGAGTAACCTTAAAACCTGTACTTCAAACTGGAAAAGAAAAGCAGAGAATCCTAAGAGTAACCTTAAAAACCTGTACTTCACCAAATTGGAAAATTTAAAAGAAATGGATAGATAATTTTCTCAATTTATACCATCTACCAAAGTTAAATCAACATCAGATAAGCAATTTAAACAGACCTATAACCCTTAGTGATATAGAAGCAGTTCTTAAAAGTCTCCCAACCAAGCCAGGCGGCGGTGCCGCACACCTTTAGTCCCAGCACTCAGGAGACAGAGGCAGGCACATCTCTGTGAGTTCGAGATCTGGTCTACAGAGCGAGCTCCAGGCACCAAAACTACACAGAGAACCAAAACTACACAGAGAAACCCTGTCTCAAAAAAACTAAAAACAGCCGGGCGGTGGTGGCGCACGCCTTTAATCCCAGCACTCGGGAGGCAGAGCCAGGCGGATCTCTGTGAGTTCGAGGCCAGCCTGGGCTACCAAGTGAGTTCCAGGAAAGGCACAAAGCTACACAGAGAAACCCTGTCTCGAAAAACCAAAAAAAAAACCAAAAAAAAAAAAAAACAAAAACAAAAAAACAAAACTAAAAACAAAACAAAACAAAGTCTCCCAATCAAATAAAAAAATTCCAGGGCCAAATGGTTTTAGCATATAATTCTACCAGACTTTCAAGGAAGAATTAATGCCAATACTCTTCAAATTACTCCATAAAATAGTAACAGAAGAAACAGCCCAAATTCCTTTATGAACATGCAAAATTTATAAATAAAATACTTGCAAGCCAAATTCAAGAACACATCAAAAAGAACATCTACCATGATCAAGTAGGCTTTATCCCAGAGATTCAGGGGTGGTTCACAACAAAACCACATGATCATCTCATTAGATGCAGAAAAGGCTTTTGACAAAATCCAACACCCTTTCATGATAAAAGTCCTGTAGAGACCAGGGACATAAGGGGCATACTGCAACATAATAGGCCTCAACAAGTCCACAGTTAACATCAACCTAAATAGAGTGAAACTTAAAACATTTCCACTAAATCAGAAACAAGACAAGGTTATCCACTCTCTCCATATCTATTTCAATACAGTAACAGAAGTCTTAGCTAGAACAATAAGACAAATAAAAGAGATCAAGAGGTTACAAACTAGAAGAAAAGAAGTCAAAGTATCTTTATTTGCAGATGATACCATTGTATACATAACTGACCTTAAAAATTCCTCCTGGAAACTCCTATAGTTGATAAACACTTTCAGCAAAGTAGCATAAACAAAAATCAGTGATCACAGCATACAGAGATCTTCATGTACTTGGCTATATCCTTATAAAACTCTATTGGAAATGTTTCTGAAGATCTCAGCATTTTATCTTGAGGCGTTGCTGTTTCCCAAAACTAACACAGCCTATGTATCACAGGAAGACAATGGAGAATCTAGAACTGATAACAGACATGTGGGAAGAAGGGATGCTGCTGAGGAAGGGGCCTGGGTCCAAGAGTCAAAGCCCTAGCTATGAACTTGGGCTGAGCAGTGTTTCAACTCACCTTCCTGGAGGCCTGGCACCAGCTTGTAAACAATGTCCTGCATGGTTCTGTCATGACTGCAAAAAGAAAACAGGCATGTCGGGGGAGTCAACCAATGTAAACACTATATTTATATCTTCTACTTAACAACTTGAGGTTAGATTTTCCTTCTAGTTTGCAATGAAAAACATGTTCTAAAAATTATCTAGGACTTGAATTGATGCATCATTTAATTTAGGGTCCAGCCTCATGGAATGAAAAGGTCACTCTGGACAAAGGGTTAGGCTCAACTTCCTGGACACAGGAAAACATGAAGGTGCAGAGCTTCTTTATCTACAATATGGCTCTTATTATAGTTTGTTTGGTTTTTTTTTTTTTTTTTTTTTTTTTTTTTTTTTTTTTTTAGGTTTTTCGAGACAGGGTTTCTCTGTGCAGCTTTGCGCCTTTCCTGGATCTCGCTCTGTAGACCAGGCTGGCCTCGAACTCACAAAGATCCGCCTGCTCTGCCTCCCAAGTGCTGGGATTAAAGGCATGCGCCACCACCGCTCGGCAGTTTGTTATTTTTAAGCATAAAAAATAATTATGTCGCCGGGCGGTGGTGGCGCACGCCTTTAATCCCAGCACTCGGGAGGCAGAGCCAGGCGGATCTCTGTGAGTTCGAGGCCAGCCTGGTCTACCAGGAAAGGTGCAAAGCTACACAGAGAAACCCTGTCTCGAAAAACCAAAAAAATAATAATAATAATTATGTCAAGTAACTTCTTTTCTTGAATAAAGTGATAGAGAATTTCTTAATTTTCAAAGCCATTTTAACTTCTAATCCTTATTGTATAAGCCTGTATAAATCCAGTAACTGGCCAATGATTACACTTCAACAAATGCATAGGAATCTAGCCATCCTGGACTCAGCCCAGTGGCTACTCATGGGCAAGTCCTAGTGCAACTGTAACCACCTAACTGTTTAAGATCATCACTCACTGCATGAACCAACTTCCTGTGTTTTGGAAGCTCCTGGCTATGAGGCCCAACTGTATACTGTAAGGTGGTCACACAGAGCTCCAAACCTCCTTTCTACTACCTAGACCAGGATGCATGGTCCACTCAGGTGCAATTTAGACTTTGTAGACTGGGGTCTGTGCTGATTGGTTTTTGCCAATTTGGCACAAACTAGAGTCATCTGGGAAAAGGGAACCTCAACTGAGGAACTGCCCCCACCAGACTGGGCCTGTGGCCAAGGGTGGGGGTAGGGTCTTAATTAGTGACTGATATAGGAGAGTCCAGCCCACTGTGTAACTGTCACTCCTGATCAGGGGGTCCAAGATTGTATGGGGAAAGCAGGCTGAGAAGGCCATGGAGAATAAGCCAGTAAGCCCCGATTCTTACATTAACAGTGATGAACTATTACTTAGAAGTATAAGCTAAATAAATCCTTTCTTCTCGGTGTTGGTTTTGGTTAGTGTTTTATCACAGCAACAGAGAAGCAAACAAGACATGGCCCTCCATGCATTTGATGCCCTTGACATCTTTTACCACACCCACCTAGCTTCTGCTAGACCCCATGCTGAGTGGAATTATGGTCAGAGCTCCATATTTGAATGCCAGGCTTTGCCTACCTTAGAGGCCTAGCAAGGGGGCTAGTTAGAAACATAACACAGGGTACTTTTTGGATGGAAGGCTCTCAAAGTGGAGCTTTCTTCAAAGTGAACATGATCACACTCCAGGTTCATAGTGGCATGTTTTAACACTCGGCAATGTCTCTACCACCTGCTTGGATCATCCCTGCTAGTTCTGGCTACACATCTTTCCACCCTAAATCTTGAGACGTAAATTCTGAAGCCAAGAAAATCCCTTCTACATAACATTGAAGGGCCCACAGGCTTCCTCTCTTTGGGCCCTGTAAGTAGAGAATCAGGCAAGAGGTGGGGTTAGGTGAAACCAAGTCAGGAGCAGAGGATGGCACCAGCAGAGGTATCACCATAGACAATTTCAGATGGAACCCTGACATTACCAGTGAGAGGGGGGCTAAGAGAGTTGGGGCTACAGCTCAAATGAGAATACTTGCCTTACATTCACAAAGCTCTAGGTTTGATCCCCAGCATTGCATAAATGGGGTGTGGTAGAACACTTATAATCAAAGTTCTTGGGAGGTAGAAGCAGGAGGATCAGAAGTTCAAGGCTACATAAAACCCTATGTCAATTAAACCAGAGAGAGAGAGACTAAGGTCCATTACTGTGCTCCTCCCCTAATTCTCTTTTTTGTTTGCATAACAATCTAAACTTCCATGAGAGGATCTGCCCACAAAATAGCTCTTTAGTGTTCTTCCTCCAACAGCAAACTCCAGCAACCCTAAAGAGGGCAGCAGTGTCCCCAGCCTCCAACTCCCAGCCCTAAGAGAGACCCCTCACCACTCCTGTCAGCAACAATTTAAGTGGGGAACCTGCTTCTGAGCTCTACAGAACTGCACCCCAGAGAGAAAGCGGGTGACACAGCGTGTACTATCCCATGAGGACAGAAAACGCAGAACAGAGCCTGGGACAGGTGGTATCACAAGGAAGTCTCAACAGTGAGTTGATGCATGGGAAGGCACCAAGCTTAGGCATAACTATGGTAGTGGGCTGAGATGTGCCTAGAGCCACTATAGTGACAAAACTAAAAACATACCATTATACAGGGTAGTCCAGAACACAGAGCATCGGAACTTGGTTCAAGAGTCAATGGGAATTTGGACAGAAGTTCCTTAAATCAGATGTCCCCCACCCATTCCACATGCAAAGACTCAGGACAATACTTAACACCAAGAACTGCTAGACATTGCCATAGGTCCACCACATAGGATATGTAGACCCTGAGGTCTTCTCCAGAGATTCTATGAATAAATGATTCAGCAATGAAGTTAGGCACACAGAAAACACTCTCATCTCAGTGTGGGCAGCAGAAATAGTGGCATCAGCAGTGCTGTCTAGAAGTCTGGAGGGGCTTCTAAGGTCAGACAGCTCAACTTGAACTGCTATGTGACTGAGCTATGACTGTGACATGCTGTACAACTTTAAAGTGAAAAACAAACACCTCTTCCTTTTAGTTCATGTTCTCTGATTTCCTCATGCCATATGTGTCGGTGCCTTAATTTCCTTCAGCATGACCTTTGAAATCAGAAATTCCACTTACAGGCCCTTGCTTCCTCAGCTCAAGTTCCAGCCCAGGGGCAAGCTACTACTCTAAAGAAAGGAGGTCCGGGGTCCCTTCTACTTTCAACTTTTAGTTTAAGAAAACTTATAAGATTCAATTGTTCTCATGGTCCCTCCAGAGCAGGTGCTACTAGATATCCATTGGCATGGCCCTGGTCACCTGCAGTGTATTATCTGGGGGCCAGAAACAAGGTGGCCACTACTATGCAGATATAAGGACATCATGGCCAGGGAGCACCAGACCACACTGTTACTCACCCAATATACTGTAGTGGGTGGCTCTGATGGATCACGATCCTGCAAGTGGGGCAGGTATTATTCTCCTCCAGATATTTCACCAGGCAGCTCCTGCAGACTATCCAAAGGGAGAGAATGACAGCAGCCACAAGAGAGGTGCTAATTGGTACTATGCCCAGCCAACTCCAAGAGTGCTAAGAGGGCACTTGTATAAACCTCCTCCACATAGTTCCTGACCTCTGAAAAGAAAGTGCCTTTGGGTTGCACTGTGCATTACCCACCTGTTACACACTCCTGGCCTAGGAACTAACTGGAGAAGAAAACACTAAGGAGTGGTTGTCTAAGTTACTATGTGACAAGATCATAATAATATAATTAATATTTAAAAATCTGCATTTTGACTTAAAAGATGATAAAATTGTCTTATATAGCAAAACTAGGTAAAAGTCAGTGAAACTGCCTAACACAAAACTGTACCACCAATTTTTAACAATACAATTAATCTTAGCCTAAAAATTCTTTAAAAATGGAAAACATCTTCAAAAATGCAAAATGTATACAAGTCATATGTGTTGGTCACTATGTGCACTTTCATGCAGCAGTCATGCCTCTAGGTGATCCACACAGGAGATCTGTCTTTCAGTGAGACAAGGAAAAAAAAAATCTTAGGGGGCTGGAGAAACAGCTCAGTGGTTAAGAGCACTTGGCTCTTGCAGAAGACTTAGGTTCAGTTTCTAGCATCCACATGGTGGTCTACAACTGTCTGCAACTCTAGTTTCACAGGATCCAATACCACCTTCTGGATTTTGCTGGTACTGCAAGCATGTAATACGCATACATACACACAGGCTAAACTCATAGATATAAAAATTTAAAAATAATTAAAATAACAACAATAATTAAAAAAAAAAATCCTGTCCTGCACAAGTCCAGGCCTGACAAGCAGAATGAGTAACAGGCAATAGGTACCATACTGACTCTTGAAATCCCACAGGTGCTTGACTGTTAAAAAGAAAAGACTTCACTTGAAATTTCACAACACAAGTACTGTCCTGCTAGAAAACAGTATCACTCCACCAGTGGCCAACCTGGCAGACAAAAAAAAAAAGTAGTTTTCTTTGGTTCAGCTTTCCTGACAGAAACTTCCCTCCAGGGAGTTACCCATAGCATCCCTAGTCGAAGGTAAGTTTTCCAATCACCCCTCAGGATCTTTGTTCTTCTCCTGACCCTGTTGCCCTTGTGCCCACACTAAAGTCCTAAGGAATGTGCTGGAGCACTCCCTACCCCATTTAGATCAGAGTAGAACTGGCTGTACTCACATGTGTGCAAACACTCAGTCACTGTAGTTGCGTCAATGAGGTAGCCGCTGCACAGGCGGCAAGTGATGTGGGCGTTTATGTCCCAGAGTTTAATCTTCCTGGTCAACATCTTTGGCTTCTGCAAGAGAAATACAGTGAAGTAACAATGATGACTAATCTAGGTTGTCAACTTGACTACATCTAGAATTAACTAAAACCCAAGTGATTGAATATACCTATGAGGAATTTTTTTCTTAATTAAAGTAGGAAGACCCATTTTCCTTTCGAGGTGGAAAGATCCACCATTAATCTGGGCCCCAAATAAGGAAGCTTGCTCTCTTTGTCTGCCTGCTCTTGCTGGTAAATCCATTCCTTCACTGGCAATGGAGACTACTTCTTTGGGATTCTAGTGTATACTGAAGATCAGTTAAGATATCCAGCCTCATGGACTGAAAAACTACTGGATTCTTGGACTTTCTGTTGGGAGACAGCCATTGTTGGACTAGCTGGACCACAGCCTGTCTGACTAATACACAGGTATCTGTTTCATTCCCAGCTTGCCTTTCCTCTACTCACAGATGTACCATCCTTTTTGTTGGACACATGACCCATCTTTTCTCATCCTATCATTAAATAATGACCCACCTCAGGCCTCAGTGGTAAGTAGAGTTTGAACCTCAACTCAAGGGACTGCCACTAGCCACTACACTGTCTACCAGAAAGACATAGAGCCCAACAAGAGGCTAGATTAAGTTCTGTGGATCCAAACTTAATCACCAGCCACTTTGACCTGGATCTACCACATGGCCTTTCAACATCACAGCTGGTATCTGGGTCCAATCCTACCTTAGATATTTAGCCATCCTCACCCTTGTGTTGATATTTTATTTGTGCTGAAATGTGATATTTTATTTGTATGTTAATAAATAAAGTTTGCCTGGAGATCAGAGGTTATAGTGAGCCATAAACAAAAGTCAGGCGGTGGTAGCCCATGCCCTTAATCCGATCACATGGCAGGCAGAGTCTCTGTGTGGTCAAGGACATAGCCAAGCGTGGTGATACACGCCTTTAATTCCAGTACCAACCATAGAGACCTGGAGGTCTGTATAGACAGGCAGTGACGAGGAAGTGATGTGGCTGGGCTTAGAGCCAGTGAAAAGGCAGAACAGAAAGGCAATAAAAGCACAGGTTAGACAGGAAGAAGCTCTCTCTGGGGAAGCTACTGCGAGGTGGTAAGCTAAGGCTAGTCGTGGCTATTCACTAACTCTCTGATCTCTTCAGCCATTACCCCTGTATTTGGCTCTGTGTTTCTTATTTAATAAGACTTTTTAGAAATTTGTCTACACACCCTAGGACTTTTTATGAGAGGGAACAGTTAGATCTTCACTCAATGCCACAGGAAACTAACTTACAACATCAAGTCATCACCTAGATCCCGCTGAGCTCCAGACTCACCAGCGGCCTCTTAGCATAGTATGGCCACCTCTATGCCTTTTAGATACTATACTCAGGGCTAAGCATGGCCATAACAGCCCTAGAAAAGTCCATCTGGCTCATGGTACCATTTCTAGCTATGCACCTCTCTTAGTCAACTGACTGATCAATATTACATACCTACCACACCCTGAATTAATGGTACTCTAGAGCCAGCATGCAGAGCATAAATATGGCCAAACTCCTCACTCTTCAGACGGCATGGCCCCTTGGGAGAATTCCAGACCTCACCTCCTCTGGATGTCTGTGAGTCCTTCCTCACCCGGTGGCATGGAGGCTTCAGGCCACCAAGTGGATGCGATGATCCCTCCTTACTCTGAGTTCTGGCTGGCTTCTGCACCTTCTTTCTGTCCCTTGTTCCTTTTCCATTTTCTAGCACAAAAATGGCACTGTTAATTCAAAGCACATTGATGCCAATCCTGCACACAATCACACATTAAACCCTTACTACATCTTAGATAAGTACTACATATTAAACCACGGGACAGGGTACACTAGAAATGCTGGAAGACAATCAAGAACCACCAAATAACTCCACAGACAGTTGCTAGAGACCAAACTTCAAGGAAATACGAGGCAGTCACCATATTGAGTCATAGGTAGCCAGAAAGGAAGATCAGCTTCAGCTATGCTTACCTGTGAATGATAGCCTGGAATCGGGGCTACATTGTGAAGTCTGTGGAGAAGCAGAGATGGGTGTTACCATGGGAGGATCTTGTCTCACCCTCTAGCAATTCTCAAGTGCTGTTTAGTTAAACGTGTCTGTTTATTTACTTGCTTTAAAATGATGGTGAAGAAGGTGGCTCTGCTGAGGAGACACCTCCCAGAGTTTCTGCCCAATCCAGAGCAAATACACAGCTTACGGTGTAAGGGAAAGAGAAGATGGCTCCACTACTTGCTTTGGGGCCCAAGAGGCGGGATGAGGTATCTGTGGAAGCTCCAGGTGACAGTGGATTTCAGGGATGACCCGAGAAACCTCAGGAGGATGATGAGCAGCACTTCATTGCTCACTTCATTTTTACATCCTCACACCCAGACTAAGTCACTGTCTCTCCTACTCACAGACTTGCCACCCACTCACTGAATTTTCTCTGGGCCCATGTGGGCTCTAGGTATTTGTAGCTTAAGGACTGATTACAACCTGGACATGGTGTACCCTAACATGTCCTGGAATGAACTTACTCTTAAATGCAACTCAGATAATTTCAACTTTAAACATTTTCCAGAACTTCATTTTTTTTAAAGTTAGGTTAGGTTCAGTGGGCTGAGGCCAGTGAGCCAGATATTCATGCTAGGATGTGGAGATGGCAGCAGCTGGAGAAATCCTGGTAGAGTGGTCTGGGACCTCCCAAGAATAACTACGCAGGCAGTTTGCTTCTTGACTGAGGTACTTTGAAGGCTCCTACGTGGAACAGGCAATGCTGGTAAAGGGCTTGGTAATGTACCTGGAAGCTTAACTAGAACAGTACCTGAGCTCTAGGTATTTGTAGCTTAAGGACTGATTACAACCTGGACATGGTGTACCCTAACATGTCCTGGAATGAACTTACTCTTAAATGCAACTCAGATAATTTCAACTTTAAACATTTTCCAGAACTTCATTTTTTTTAAAGTTTTTATTTATGTGCGCACATGCGCATGCACCCACACACCTGTGTATGTGTGTGTCTGTGTCTGTCTGCGGGAATGTATGTAATATGTGTATGAGTGTTTTGCAGAGGCCAGAAGAGGGAATTGGATCCCCCGAAGATGAAGTTACAGGCTGTATGAACTGCTTGATGTGGGTGCTAAGAAAGGAACTTGGATCCTCTGGGAGGACAAATATGCATTCTTAACCACTAGGCTTTCTCTCCAGCCTCAGAACTACATTAACTAATCAACCCAGGAAATCGTACAAAATGAAGAAGGGAAATGGGAAGGTAGAAGAAAGTAAGTATGTTCTATCAGGTAAACCAAGGGAGGAAACATTTAGAGGAAGAGGTGGAGCCAGCTCAAGGCCAGGCCTATCTTAAACTAGCCCCTGCCTATTATGGAGGCCACTGACCATATAAAAATGCTGTCCCTTGAAATTTGGTGGCTCCTGTGACAAAAGAATCAGATTATGGCAGTCATTCATTTATTGCTTTGAGATAGGGTTCCATTACATATTTTAGGCCTTGGCTGGCCTAAAACTCCCTATGGACCTCAGGCTGACCTCAAAGTTGCAGTGATTCTCTTGCCTCAGCCTCTCAAGTGTTGTGCTTGTAAGTATAAGCAACCATACAGGGCTTTCTAGTTGTACTTAATTCCAGTGCTGGGATTATTAAAGGTGTGTGCCACCCCTCCTGGTTTACATGTAATTTTTTAAAATGAAGTTTGTACAAAATGGATCAATTCCTGAGGGGGTGGGGTTTGAGTGGTGGTGAAAAGCTGAACTGAGATTAGTGAAGAACACCCAAAATATTCTCTGTTACAGACGCTGAGTAAGTAGTCACAAACTTTCTTCATGGGCTGCCAGGCAGTGGTGGGGCACGCCTTTAATCCCAGCACTTGGGAGGTGGCAGGTGGATCTCTGAGTTCAAAACCAGTCTGGTGTACAGAGTGAGTTCCAGGACAGCCAGGGCTACACAGAGAAAACACAGTCTCAAAAAAAAAAAAAAAAAAAAAAAAGAAAGATAAAAAACAAAACAAAACAAAAACAAAACTCTGGGTCTGTGAGTATACCATATCTGAGAGCAAATCACCCTTTCAGGTGTTAAAAGTATTTGGGGCCAGAACATGCACTTGTCTATCCTGCACCACCAGGTCCTAAGTTCAGATTCCCAGTTACACAGCTAAAGAAGGGATCTCTAATTCATTTTACTTAATTAAAAAAAATTTTATGTGCTTTGGTGTTTTGCCTGCATTCATGTCTGTGTGAGGGTGTCAGATTTCCTGGTACTAGAAATTGAACCCTGGTCCTCTGGAAGAGCAGTCAGTGCTCTATAACTGCTAAGCCGTTTCTCTAGCCCCTCTAACTTACTTTATGAAACTACTAGCCATACACCAAACTCTAGCAAGGTGAGATATGGACAAAAACTAACAGACCTATCTGGCCCTAAGCAGAGCATTGGCTAATTTCATCTATCAGTATATAAAGGTACAGTCGTTCAGGACCAAGTTAGGTGTATCCCAGGGAATATAGCTAGGCAAAAATACAAGGAAAAAATCACTTACCACAAAAGGTAAAAATAGAACAACACATGATCTTCCCAAAAGACATGTAAAAATTATTTTATAAACCATCCATTCATTATTTTTAGGAATCCTAGAAGACTAAATACTTTTAACCCTGTTGAAGGAGACATTAACACATGACTGCTCAACAACTCAGATGTGAACAATTACAGCTCCACGGACAAAAGTCTCAGATGGAGGTGACTAGGACACCCATCAGCAGGCAGCCCATAGAAGATAGGGCCCCACCTAGCAGCTGTTCCTCGGCAGTTAGGAAAAAAAGGGTGCTTCTGGCTATGCATGGCTCCTTGTAGAGAAGAAAATTGCCCACAGAGAACATAACAATGCCATTCTCATGGGACACAAGATTCCAAAAAGGTGAGCTGCCTGCTATGGGCTGGCCAGCAATGGTGGCCCACAGGTCTCAGGAAGAGGTCTTGAGTCCCCACCTACACAATAAACTGATGAAAAGAGTATCTTACAATTTAAAACAAATGACAGACATACTCCTATTGGTAGGGTGACACCAGATCACAGGCACCCACGATCCCTCAAGGAAATACTAACATTCAACACAGTATGTGGTGCTATGTTCAGGGGTATTTATTACCTTTTTTAATTCATGATTGCATTATGCTCTATTATGAACTGAGAGGCACACATCTACAACATATTAGAATTATAACAGGCTTAGCAAACTCAGGTCCTCAGGACAGGGGGGGTTTTGCTGCTCTATTTAGTGTCCCAGGGCCAGCTATGCCAAAGTACTATTTGGTTTTTAGAGAGAAACTTTGTCCACTTTTGCTCTAAATAATGAAAAGAGATTCACTAAAGAAAAAGTCCAAATTAAGTAGATTTCAGCTGATCAACTTTATTACTAAACTGGAAGTATAAATTAAAAATCCAATGAGACTCACAAAATGGAGAGTGATGGTGAATAGAAGGCCATGGTACCAAGTACCATGAGTGTACAGTGTTGAGAAAAAAGGCTGGCATTCTGTGGTAAAGGCAACACACACCCTACCAAACTCTATACCAGTGTTTTCTGGAGGCTCCAGCACTCAAAAATGAGCTAAGTATCAGTACCACTACCATATCATGTGGCCAAATGGCCAGCCTGGTGTCCTCTCCATGCATTCCAAGAATCATCTATTTTGGTTTCTTACTACATTGCACATCATCACACCTGTGGTCACAAAAACAACATGCACGTGGACATGGCAAACCATAACAGTGGGATAGAAACTACCATGAAGGCAGGCAAGCAGGTTGGTCACTTGTCTTCATCTACTGCAGGGTGGGTGCCGTGTGCTGTATTCCCAATGACATATATGCCCTGTGCACGTTTATGAATGAGGGAATACAGGGGAATTTATGAATGAGAATACAGGGGACTCATATTCCTTATAAGCAAACAGTGTCCCTGCTATGGCAGGCCTGGGCCCAGAACACTTCTTCCCCTTCTGCACATTGTCTAGCTTGTGGGTTCCACCCAGTAGCCTCCCTGGGGATGGGAGTCACATTCCCTAACTTTAGTCAACACCTAGTCAGAGTCTCAGTTCTGTGAGATGCAAAAATATGAATGACTAAAAGAGGAAAATATGGCCCATAAGGTATTATGTTCTGCCCAAAAAGGTGCCTGCTTCCAAGTGTGACAACCTGTGTTCAATCCCCAGGACTCACATGGTAGAAGGAAAGAACCAACTTCTACAAGTTGTCCTCAGAATGCCACATATGCCCACCCAAAGTAAATAAATAAAAATATAACCTTAAAATGTTTTTAAAATTAGAAAATAAAATTTCTCTTAATCCTGGATCCAGGTAATGTAATACAAACTACTAGCCATGCAACCCTGGTGCTCCTTACATAGCCTTAGAAGATGGAACAACCATTAAATCCAAGCTGGCAAGATACTGTCCTTGTCCTGGGAATGTAATTCAGTTGGTAATCGCCTGTCTAGCATGAACAAGACCCTGGGTTCAATCCCAAGCACCATAGAGAGCTAGGCATGTGATACATGTCTGTAATCCCAGCACTTGGGAGGTGTAGGCAGGAAGATCAGAAGCTCAAGATCATCCTTATGTGAGTTTGACGCACTCTGGGTTACATAAGACCCTGCCTCAAAAGAAAAGAAAAGAAGAGAAAAGAAAAGCAAAAGAAGGAAAAGAATGATGCTGTCCTTATTAAAATCAGTAACACAAGCCTACTCTCCTGTGGGTAAGATCTAGGTAGAGACACCATCAGATCTATGGCTTAGGCATCACTGATCTGATCAGATTTCAAGTTGGTCTCTAAATAGTCCAGGCCTAATACATATTAATACTAAAAGAATAGTTTTTTTTTTTAACAATTGAAAAACAAAACAAAAACAGATCTTTTCCAAATAAGCCAGTTACAAACCTTCAGCTGTTGACAACTGTCTTCCCCATCTCATTCCAAAGGTGACCTCTTTCTGCTCTATGACCTGTCCACAACAGTGT